GGAGAGCTTTTCCAATTTAATGAGAAAATGGATATCTAATATCACCTTCTAATGTCTAAGATTACCTTCCTCCTCTTGAATGGATTGCAGGCTCTGTTTCCAGTGATCCAAGGTAGTGTCAGAACTGGACTTCACTTCTATGAAGTGTGTTACCATTGCATGAAAATATTAATGCAGTGAAGTTCTAAGCTGCAGCAGGTTTGGATGGGATTTGTGTTCTTCCAGAGACCTCAAATATCTGTGATACCACTTCTTATCATCAATATGAAAAGTAGTTTTAAAACTTTTTCCTGTTTTATTTTTTCCCTACCAAAAGTTCTCTAAGGTGAATGCTGCAAATCCATTACTTTTAAACAGTGGAAGCTGTTGACTTAAGCAGAGCTATTTATTTGCTTAAAAGTGGGCTTGTGCTCAGATGCATTGCTGAGCTGAGAGAGACCAAAGTGTTCTGTAAACTAACCGTCACAATGTCCCTGTGAGGCTAGTGACTGCTATTTTTCTCATGTTACAGGCTTGGGGCCCAAATAAGCCGTGAGTCACACAGCAGGCTAATGGCAGATGCGTGATTAAAATGCAAGTTTCCTCTCTTTATGTTTTATGCAAGTTATTCAATCTTTCATTTCTGAAAATGCGAGAAACAGTAAAAGTTATTACATTCATGTTGCCTATCAGCACATGTGCCATATTTCCTGGTGTACTCTCGGATCCTCTGCATTTTATGTCATTGGTCAATTCACTTGTATGCAAAGAAACAAATGTTTTGTGAATAATTTCTTTCATTGGAACATGCTATTGTTTTAACAATTAGTGAAAAACAGAATAGAGTTCCCCAATTTGTAAGCAATTTATGAAGAATAACTGTTATAAAGAAACAGGGGAAAAATTGAAGTTGCTGGAAGTGTTAGACATAATTTTAGATACACAGACCACAGTTCGATGCTGCGGCTTTTGACTTAACATTGCTTTGTTTCAGTGGGAGAGGTCTGAAGATGTTACAAGCATACTGAAGCAGACTGAAAATAGCTGTCTTGAGGTCAGCTAAGAACATTTGAATGCTTGTAGGGTAATGTTTAGTGTACAAAAACTAGAAGAGATCAACATGTCACTGCAGTTTCTGCAGTTAAGACACATCTCTGTAGAAGAGCCATGGAAATCACTAGATTTCTTCACATGAACTTTCTGAAGAGTTAGGTGTTTCATCTGCTACATCAGATGAGTCAAATGACTTCTGCTGAGCTCATTCACAGAAACAAAAGGTGAGGGACAAAAACCTGGTTGTCATGGGAGAGGGAAACCATATCTCTTGTACAAATCCCCACTTTGCCTCTGATAATTCAGCCTCATCCTTAATGGAGATCTACCAGACATCTTTAGAAGAGACTAGAAACTAAATTAATGGCTGTCCTGCATGCTATAAACCATGAACCTGAGACTGTTTTTACTTGAAGTGCTGTAATTTCATACTTATTCCCAAAGATAAACTCATACTCCACAGGCTACTAGTTACCTGTCTCCTTCTCTTAGGAAGCAATCTTCTTACCATCCTCTAGCCCCTGTCCCAGTGTCAATCCATAGGTAATAACTAAACTGTTTTGTGTATCACCTAAACATATGTAATTAAACTTTCCCACTTCTATATAGGTTTGAAATTTGGTTTTGACCCAGAGAGAGACTTGTGTGCTCAAAAGATTTCATTAGACCAGCTGATGAAGGTTTCTTCTGTCTACGGATCCTGTCTTATACTGTAAATATTATGCATGCTTACACATCTGTCTCTTGATCTGTGGTACTTTGGAAGGACTTGTTTTGGGAAATGAGGTCCTCACTCAAGTAGTTTCCAGTGGTTGCGTATCATGTAATTTTGTGTTTTCTCTGTGCCAAAAAATTCTGTGAAAATTAATAGCTGCTGCACAGGAAACTCAGAAAATCTGGTACAAAAACTTATTTTAAACAAAGTTCTGTAATTCTTACCATGCTTGTACCTCTGTTTCTCACTGACTGTTGCAGTTTGTCCTCTGATTTTCTCCTGAAACTGTTGGGCAAGGGAGGAAACTCAGTGGTGGCATGCAGCAAACAACTAACATGGTGTAAGATGTCTAGAGTTTTTAATTTTTTTTTAGTCAGCTGGGATTTTTCAGGCTGTTACAAGCATTGTTGTGATTTCCAACAGTTACTTAACTGTGTTAATGTGTTTTACTGTGCACAGATTCTTTCCAGCTTTTGTTCACATGGATGGAAAAGTAGGTTCCTAAAAACATCCTGTCTGTTATCATAGTGAATAGGTGTAAGGAAAAGTAGGTTCCTAAAAACATCCTGTCTGTTATCATAGTGAATAGGTGTAATTTCAAGACAAGGCAATGGAGGAAAATGTGGAATCGGATAGGAAAGCATGTGGGCACTCCAGGTGTCTGCTGGGAACCATGAATTTTCTTCATGGTGAGGTTAAGATTTTTTGAACTGGGGGCTTCTGAGGCACTTGAAACATTGTCCTGAAATTAGTATCTTTGTTGTAGTTGACCAGCTTGGAGGCTGGTAAAGGTGCATGTGTCATACTTCAAGGGTTTGCTTTACATCACTTTATGTTCAGTACTTGTAGCTACTTAGGAGCTATTTGATCCTGACTTCTTGTCCCTTTCCCTTGTCTGGGGCTTTTCACTGCTCTTTGATCTCATACCAGACAAGTGGCTGTGCCAGGAAATCAGCAGTAACCATTATGGCACTGTATTGCATGGAGAAATAGTTTTCTTGATGTGTGTGGTTTTCCCCCACCCTTTCTCAGCCTTTTTCTTAATGACGATTATATACTCTGAGATTAAGTGGTGTGGTAATAGGTCAGCACTACAACTGGTAGTATTTGAAAGCCCAGAGCAACAGACGTGTTTTGTTTTTTTTTTTCTTTTTTTTTTTTTTTTCTGGTTTTCCTTTTATTTTTAAGACCTGTGAACTATGCATCCTTAAAGTAAGTTTGAGGCTTGTATGAGACCATCTTAAAAATCTGAACGTGCGCAAGCCCATGGGTCCTGATGAAATCCATCCGCGGGTCCTGAAGGAGCTGGCGAATGAAGTTGCTAAGCCGCTGGCCATCATATTTGAAAAATCATGGCAGTCAGGTGAAGTTCCCAATGACTGGAAAAAGGGAAATATAACCCCCATTTTCAAGAAGAGGAAAATGGGTGACCCGGGGAATTACAGACCAGTCAGTCTCACCTGTGTGCCTGGCAAAATCTTGGAGCAGATTCTCCTGGAAGGCATGCTAAGGCATATGAAAATCAACAAGGTGCTTGGTGACAGCCAGCATGGCTTCACTAAGGGGAAATCCTGCCTGACCAATTTGCTGGCCTTTTGTGATGGGGCTACAGAACTGATGGACAGGGGTAGAGCAGTTGATGGCATCTACCTGGATTTGTGTAAAGCATTTGACTGTGTCCCACACGACATCCTTGTCTCTAAATTGGAGAGACATCAATTTGATGAATGGACCATTCGATGGATAAAGAACTGGCTGAATGGCTGCACACAAAGAGTTGTGGTCAATGGCTTAATGTCCGACTCGAGACCAGTAACAAGTGATGTCCCTCAGGGATCGGTGTTGGGACCGGTCTTGTTCAACATCTTTGTCGCTGACATGGACAGTGGGATTGAGTGCGCCCTCAGCAAGTTTGCCAATGACACCAAGCTGTGTGTCTCGGTTGATACTGGAGGGAAGGGATGCCATCCAGAGGGACCTTGACATGCTTGTGAGGTGGGCTGATGCCAACCTCATAAAGTTTAACTCTGCCAAGTGCAAGGTCCTACAGCTGGGTCGGAGCAATCCCAGACACAGCTACGGGTTGGGCAGAGAAGAGATTCAGAGCAGCCCTGTGCAGAAGGACTTGGGGGTGCTGGTCGATGAGAAAATTAACATGAGCTGGCTTCAGTGTGCGCTTGCAGCCCAGAAAGCCAACCGTATCCTGGGCTGCATCAAAAGGAGTGTGACCAGCAGGTCGAAGGAGGAGATCCTGCCCCTTTGCTCTCATGAGACCTCACTTGGAGTATTGTGTGCAGTTCTGGTGTCCTCAACATAAAAAGGACATGGAACTGCTGGAACAAGTCCAGAGGAGGGCCACGAGCATGATCAGGGGACTGGAGCACCTCCTGTATGATGATAGGCTGAGAAAGTTTGGCTGTTCAGCCTGCAGAAGAGATGGCTGAGTGGAGACCTCATAGCAGCCTTCCAGTATCTGAAGGGGGCCTATAGGGATGCTGGGGAGGGACTCTTCATTAGGGACTGTAGTGATAGGACAAGGGGTAATGGGTTAAAACTTAAAACAGGGGAAGTTTAGATTGGATATAAGGAGGAAATTCTTTCCTGTTAGGGTAGTGAGGCACTGGAATAGGTTGCCCAAGGAGGTTGTGAATGCTCCATCCCTGGCAGTGTTCAAGGCCAGGTTGGACGAGGCCTTGGGTGATATGGTTTAGAGTGAGGTGTCCCTGCCTATGGCAGGGGGGTTGGAACTAGGTGATCTTAAGGTCCTTTCCAACCCTAACTATTCTATGATTCTGTGATTCTGAGTGTGTAGTAGTGGCACAAGTTAGAAGCGGTGAAGGAATACGTGAGTAGACTGGAGAAGTTGCAGCCTGTTCAGTGGCTCAGTGCTGTCTGCCTGCTAGGGTTTGCTGCCCACACAGATCAGATGCTCTGTTGTCAGAGCCAGACTGGCAGGTAATCACTGTTTTTACTTAGATGATGTGCAAATAATGTTTTCTTTTTTTTTTTTTTTTTTTTGTTAAGGTGGTTTAAACTATGTTGGTTCATGGGATCAGTATGAGAACTGCTTGCTTGCTTATATTGTGGGAAGGGGTGCATAAGCAGACATCTGCGTTGTGTGGAGTAGTACTAGTCTAGTACTAGTAGTACTAGTGCAGACAAGTGTGCTGTCCAGCAGATGGGTGGTAACGAGTACATATTGGGCTGAAGCATGTGAAATGCTCTGGCCAAATCTAATCTTAGCCAATCTAAGCGTCCCTGGTAGTGGTGAGCTAGATGCACATACTTACATGTGCCCCTGACTAAAAGCTGTGGTGAATAATGGATTTGTAATTACTGCATAATACCCTGTTGGAGGCTGAAGGGCAAGATGTTTGGGAATACTGATACAGAAGGCTGCCTAAATGGCATGATAAATAACAGGTTTGTACGGATTAGCATCTGTATAACTATTTTGAACTGAGGGCTTCTGAAGCAGTTGAAACATTGTCCTGAAATTAGTGCCTCTATTGTAGTTCACCAGCTTGGAGGCTTGTAAAGGTGTACATGTCATAGTTTAGAAGTTTTCTTGATACCACTATTTAGTAGTTCTGGCTACTTAGGAGCTTTTAAATACTGACTTCTTGTCCCTTTCCCTTCTCCTGGGCTTCTCATCAGTTGTGTATTGTGCAAGAACTTGACTTTTACTGAAATCACTCAGAGGCAAGTGGCAAAGTAAAATACTGCAATTCCTCTGCATACTTACAGTGTTTGTAGAAGTAGTGGTGTTCTTGTGTAGAACTGCACCATCAGGAGGAGATGGTCAGATTATATGCTCCTTTAGGAGACCTCCTTCTTCTGTGGGTTTAGGAGATCCTGGTGACAAGAGCAGTCCTCTCTGGTGTTTTGAATTGCAAATGGTCTCCTAGGGTCTTTGATGTCAACATTTCCATTTCTTTGTGTTTCCGTTGGATGCAGCAAGGAAGTGTTATATGGACAAATTCAGGTGCATGGGAACTTGCAAAGAAATGTGGTATTTGCATGGTTTAAATGGTTTCGATTTGTTTGTCTCCTCCATTTTTCTCTGACTCTATTTGTGCAACCAAATAACTACTCTCCTGGACATAACTGGCCATATAGCCTATTGATGCACTTACATTTGTGGGGTAGAGTCTGAAGCTTCCACAGAGTGGAAGTAAAAAAGTAAAAGAAGTCAGTAATTTGAATCAGATTATCAACAAGTCTTAATTTTAAAGCAAAGCCAGTAGCTGCTTTACAGGTTAGAAAGATCCTTCTTTTGGCTTGAGAATTTCAGATAACACAAGAAGAGGGAAGGAAGTGTTGAAATGGTTACTCCTGTTGTAATGGAAAATTTTATAGCAAATCTTTTAATTGTGCTAAGTATCTCCTGGCTTTGTTTCATTGTTTTTATTTTGTGGTGGGTAAGACACTGGTTTTGCAGACTCTTCTCCACCCGTCCTTGGGTTGACCTGTGTTTACACTTGAGTGGGATAGTTGGAAAACTTTCGCAGTTTGCAAAATGAGGCTTGCAAAGAAGGCGGAATGCTTTGTACAAAACATAATTTTATTGAAATATGACACAAGTGTTTTTGATGTCTTATAATGAATCATTTTTTTTCTTTAAAGGGCTAGCAGTACTGTAAGAGGCCTCAGTAGGAGAAATTGTAAAATCATTTTGCAAAAGTCAAGTTTTGCATTCTGGATTTATTTGATATAGCTAAGCAATTAAAGAACATGTTAACTCTTTGTAGCACGTTATGAGGAACACTCTGTAGTTATTTTGTCAGTGTGATAAATGCCATAACTGGAAACTTTCTAAACAAGTTTAAGGAGTTGAGGATGCAAACCATAAAAAAAAAAAATCTCAGTGCTGGATCAGAATCCTTTAAATTTTGAATCAGAAAGGTATTTAACTATTTCTTTCAGTTTGACATAAATAACTGTCTTTTGGAGTAGTTGAGAAGCTCATTCTCTACTTGGCTTTTAACACCACTTTTAAAACATAGGAATTACTGAGTTTTCACTGCTGGAAGATGACTGGTTGAGTGTAAAATCTCTTACATGTGTTGAATGCAAGCTGTTCCACAGTGCTCATAATGCATTGGGCAGTTAAGTTTGAGAGCACAAGATTAAGTTTGGGAAATCGTTTCTCAAATAACAGAAAGGAGAATGGTGAAAATCAATTTGCTACAACAAACAGGTGCAAGAAACATTGCTGGAGGACTTGGCATGATTTTTGCACACTGGGGGGGCTTACTCCAGTTAATGTTTCTGTGCCTTTATTGTCATGGTGCATGCACCAATGGAGGTGCATTGTCTCCCAGAAAAGGGTAATCCAGGCTTGTTCCATAATAACCACTCTTTTGCCTTGAAACAGTGAACTATCAAATTTTGCAGCATGTGAGACAAAAGGCTTCTTTGCTACTTCTCGGAATAAGATTACAGTTGTCACGTTTCTCTTTCACCAGCATGCCTGGCACTTCAGAGTATAGCTCAGACTTCCCTTTGTTAATGGAAGAGAAAGGGGATCTTTATTTTTTTCTTTTAATGGTAGGTTTTATTTTCCTAATTCATTTTGCTATTTAATACACATGACCAATGCCTAAATCCCATTCAGGATTTAGTTTAGAAAGTTGAGTTTCAGTTAGCAGAAACTTGAGCAGACTTCTCAAAAAATCCCATGCCTCAAAAATGTTTAAAAAAAACCCAAACAAACCCCAAACAAAAAAGCGCAACCCACCCAAAGCTAAAAATCCCATGCCAGCTTTGTGAATACTCCAAACAATACAACACAGTTGACCAGAAAGACTGAAAACAGTCAGATGCAGTTTTGCATCTCTTAAAGCAAACCAGAAAAGCATGGTGAGTTGGAAGTGCTGGCAAGGACTGCCTGGGCAGTGATGTTTTTGTTTCTGTCTTTTTGTGAAGCAACTAGTAAGGAAAGCGTAACAATACCAGTAACTGAAATAAAAGTAGCGCACACTTCTTGGTGATAGGTACAGAAATCTGGAGCAGTCATGTTGCTTCCAACCTTTGTGTCCAAATCCAGGCATCTCTGCAACGAGAGAAACCACAATGTTTATTGAACAAGATGCAGATGACTTTTACAGGACCATTCCTGATGCACCTTTCCTAGCAATCAGATCCCACTGTGAGTTAATGAAGAGTTTTCAGGCTCTGTATGCCTCAGCTACTCAGTGTTGACAAAGGGTCATCAGTGTGAATATAAATAAAATTGTGTTTGATATTTTATGTATTAAATATAAACGCTTTTTAATGCTTACAGTGTGGAAGGAGGACTTGTCTCTTTCAGGTTTTTTTCCACAAAGTAAAACAATGAGGAGTTTGTTCAGCTTCTGCATGCAAAAAAAATACATCTAGGCATTCTTTGCATAACTCTGGGGAGCAAGGGGTTGCTAGCTTTCTCATTCGCCTTTTTTATTACTTGCATAATACAGGTTAGAATCATAGAATAGTTAGGGTTGGAAAGGACCTTAAGATCATCTAGTTCCACCTCCCCCGGCCATGTGGAAACACTGTGAAAAATACGTAGTGGAACTATGAAGAATTGGTGTATGCTGTGTACTGTGTTCCCATACCAGGTGATTTTAAGTTTAATTTTGTTGAAAATAGATACACTGTTGTTTCAAGCTGTTACACCATGGCAAATGATCATTAGCAAGTGAGGGATACTGTGTAAGTAGCCACAGTCTCAGTGGCTGTTCTTCTTAGGATGGCATGTGGCTTAAAGTATCTTTTTTTGTTTTGTTTCTTTTTCCTATATGTACTGTGCTCGGTATTCTGAAAACCTGTCTTTTATTTTTTCCCCTGTATGTGTGTGTTCCAGTGACTTTGTAACATGCAAGACACTGATATCAGGGGGAGCTCCCCTGCTTTCCTCCGGCCTCAGAATGGGAGCAGTCACAGGTCTTCAGGGTACGTCCCAGGGAGAATTGCTCCACTCCGTCCCCCACCGCCCTCACAGAGCCATGCTGCAGCTGAATTTACTTCTGCAAGACAAGAAGCCCGGGCAAGACTCCCACCCTTACCAGTCAGTCAACACCGCCGCCAAGCAGAAGCCAACAGGCATAAAAATACTCTCATTTGCTTTGCCGTTTCTAGCCTCTCACTTTTTGTTGCACTGGGGATTTTTTTGGGAATAGCTTCAAAATATGCTCCAGACGGTAAGTCCTTTTCCGAACAAAATCACCCTAGAAGTTAGAATGATAAAACATCAAGATGAGTGTTAGAACTGCAAAAATAGGGTGCTTGCTGCAGTTTAACAGGAAGGGAAGCAGTGTTTTAGGGCTAAGAAGAGCATAGCAGTAAAGACTACTGGTGAGGGGAAAAAAGCATAAATGTTGTATCAGTGTAATTGTGTTTGTCTGCAGAAGTCTGAACTGTTCACAAATTGCAGGCAAAGTGAAATCCTGTCTGTTGAAGCAGTAACTATGAAGCAGTAAAAGAGTGTTCAAGTAAAAACATTTAAAAATCTGTGACACTTATAAAAACAGTATGTGTTTGCTTTGTTTATACACAAATCGGGTAGAGATCTTTTTGATCTACTAGCCCTGATTTTTTTTTTTCAGCTTATCTTAGAAAACTGGACAACTTTCATGGAATTTGGAAAACCTACCAATTGTTTCAGTGGTTATAAAGCATGAACAGGTGATATGATTAACCACTGATCAGTAAGCGTACATCTATCTGGACAAATACTGCTAGGAGTTGATGTGAGGTGCAGTAGCTAATGGTATAGTTTGGAGCATGCTGCAGTTTTGTGTTGATGTGGTTTGGGTAAAAACACAAGGCAGAAGTTGGGTTTCTAAAAACTAAGCAGGGCTTTGAATTGAAACTGTTGGCTATTGCACCACTATATACTTAGACTCTTCAGTGGCTTTTGGCACAGTAACTCAGAAGATTCTGTTTCCGAAGTCAGTGCAACACAGGCTGAACAAATCAGATAATCAATTGAAGATCTCAGATGACAGTATAAAATGAATGCACACATCCCACCACAGCGCTCTTGGGGGTGGGTTGTAGAGATCTGTTCTTGGGTGAAGTTACTGAGTTCTAATAATTATGAAGGAAAAAAAAAAAAAAAAGTGAGGGAGGGAGTAAATGGAAAGTTACTGCTATGTTGTTTTTCAGATCATGGTAACAGGGACACTTACTACAGTAAGTACTTCAGTTACAGCCCAGTTCCAGAGGAGACTAAAGGATGTCTTAGCCAGTTGACTCTGGGAAGTACTTTTCAGGGGGGAAACCTTTCTGTTTTGCTACCAACACTTTAACTTTTAATTCACTAAAGTTGTAGATTTTAATGATGGTTTTTGGAAGTAGTGGAATGTTATCCTGTGCTGTGGGATATGTAAAATAATGGTCCCTTTATGCTTTAAAAGCTGTGAAGATGTGAAAAAGATGTGAAGGAGCTGGCTTGCCTTTTTGCTTTTTAGTGTAAGTGGTTTTGGGAATGGTTTTGCTTCATCTGCAGTAGCTCATTCCAGAGGCATTGAATTGTGCGGCTTTTTTTGCACTGAGTGCATGGTCAGCACGTGGTTGATGGATCACAGCGGAAAGAGGGGTGAGGGCAGGAACACTGAGGATATTGCAGGAAAAGTTGCTGTCATACAATGAATGGGTTGGTTTTTTTTGTTTATGGTAAGGACTTGCATAAGGGCTAAGGATTTAGCACTAAACTAACTGCTTTCCTTCTGTCTCCTACTACTTCTTGCCAGGAGTTCGGGCCAGTTTTCAGCATTAATTTTTCCATTGACTTTCTGAAATTTCCTGGTGTTCTCCTCTAAAAAATCCCCAACATGCACCTATAGAATCCTTTGGAAACACTGACACGAGAAACTCTTACAGGCACCGAGGAAACTCTGGCTGAAATTTTCATCTTGCAATATTGTTGCAGCAACTCCCCCAAGAGTTTCCCAACAGATTGAAATATCAGTATGCTCAGCTCCAGCTTGGCACATGCAGTACTGCATCCAGTGCCACCGGTTCCAGCCAGGTGTGTTCTTAAGGGCTAATTGGAAATCCATATATTGTCAGTACTCTTAATAGCTGTTTTAAAAGACAGTGGAGGGAATGTGAGACTTGGTAGTAACTATGTGTAAATCCTAAACCTCCGGCATACCTTCCCCAAAGGGAAAATGATGCTTGTCGGCATTTCTGTTCCTGCCTGTCAGCTGGGCTTTTTCCTCCTTGGTTTTATCTTCCTTTCATCATCTTTTTTAATAAGGAGTCCTGAACACTACAGATCCAGGGAGAGCACTGGAAATGCAATTTCCTTCCCCATTTCCAGGGGCTTGTACTCAGGGTCAGGATGACAAGCTGAGGAAGTTTTCGGGGATAAGTTCTGCCTGGCCTTTGCAGCTGTCAGCTGGATCTTGACCAGGGTAAACAGGATTCTCAGAAGATTTAGCTGCCAAACTGTGATAAACTTCTGCTGAGCATAATGGAACACTGATAACTTTTTCCCAGAGGCCTTAAAATCTCTAGGCTTGGTGGCTAAGCAGGTAGATGTTTAGCTACATCTTGAGAACTGTTTCTTGCCTTTTCTTTTGCCAGGTCTTATATCCTTGCTGCAGCATATGGAAGGTTCTAGAATTACTTTAAAATTATTTTTTAGGGTGGGTTCTTTGGTTGGTTTGTGGGTTGTTTTTTTTCGGTTTGGTTTGGGTTTTTTTGGTTTGTTTTTTTTTCCTTCCACCATTAGCAAAAATCTCACTGCCTTCTCTGCCCACCCCACAAGTCTTACTAGAAGCTTTCTCTTATTAAGGAGAGCTGACCCAGTTCTACAAAAGTTCTCTGAAGCAGGGCTTGACTTACAGAATTTTCAGCAGGAGTGGTTATGTTGGCAAGGCCATAACTAGCTAACATTTTCTTGTCTGTGCTTCTGTTTTCATTTAACTGTAATTGTAGGGGCAATGACTGCGGTCAGTAAAATCTAATCAGTAATTTCAGAGGTAACATACAGTGAAGTACTAGATCCTTCATCACAGTATCACAGTATCACAGTATGTTAGAGATTGGAAGGGACCTCAAAAGATCATCTAGTCCAATCCCCCTGCCGGAGCAGGAACACCTAGATAAGGTTACACAGGAACGTGTCCAGGCGGGTCTTGAATGTCTCCAGAGAAGGAGAATCCACAACCCCCCTGGGCAGCCTGTTCCAGTGTTCCGTCACCCTCACTGAGAAGAAGTTTCTTCTCAAGTAAGTGGAACCTCTTGTGTTCCAGTTTGTACCCATTTCCCCTCGTCCTGTCATTGTTTGCCACTGAGAAGAGCCTGGCTCCATCCTCGTGACACTCCCCCTTTATATATTCATGTTTCCCTGCACCACACGGCAATTGCTAACGGAGAATTACAAATACATTTGCTGAGCACATCTAATCTGCTTGCTAAAAAGCTGATCCACCGTGCTTCAGAAGCATGTTTGCATTACAGGAGTGCCTGTTTCTGATGCTGAAGGCTTCCTTGCTGGATTGTTGTGTACACTAGGTAGAGTTTTCTTAGCTATTGCGCTATACCTCTTCTTTCTGACTCAACAGGAAAATTTACAGTTACTAGATCTTCTTTCCTGTGAATCACGCTAAGCAGAAATCATCAGGTTGCTGACTCATGGTTTCCTTGCATTGCCTTTTGCTGCCAGCCAGGAAATATGACTTTCTTCACAGTGCGCGTGTGTGGTGTCTGGGGGAAGGGGCTGCATGAGTCAGGCAAGAGACTTGCATTTTTCCGGTGGGTGCTCAGCAGTCTTGCTGATTGCAGTGCTTCTTGGCTTTCCCTCATGTGTTGAATTTAATTTTCCAAATGCTGTTTTCTTGGGATCCCCCCAAAAGATTTGCCTTTGGTTTTATTTTTATATTGGTACTTGGATGTCTTTTGCCCTTATGCAGTTCTGCTAAATTTTTCCCACTGGTAGTCAAATCTAGGTTTATGTGGGTTTCTTGAGTTGGAAAAGGTTTGAAATGAGGAGAGTAACACCAAAGGAAAAACATTTCTGTCAGCAAAACTAAAGCTGGCTTGTGTTAAACTTGTGGATAGGTTTTGCTTTCTTTAGATTGTGCAAGAATGGGCTATTGCTAATAGGTTTTTGCCCCCAAAGTTGCATAGCGCATGTGAGGGTGTTTTTCTCCAAAAGATAAGATGTGAAAAGGCTATTTTGACTGTTATTCTCAGTCTGGCTGCTAACCTGTTTGTTTTGGCATCTTTTTGTTCGTTCTTTTTTCTTAAGAAAAATATTTTCAGTTTGACTTTTGGCAAGAAAATCCAAGGAATATGCTTCCTGTTTCTGTTTTTGTAGTATGTCTATGCTGCTGCATTACTTGTCTGCTTAATATGCTAAAGATGTGCCTGTTGTGAATATTATATTACTGTAACTTCATCTGAAATCACGCAACCCTCTCACTTCTTGCTGCTGCTTCTCCTTTTCTGGCCTCGTAGTGTTATTGCCTGAGTAGTGCCAGACCTTCAGCAGGGTTTCAGCAAGGACTGCAAGTGTCACTGCTCTCGTGTGGTTTGTATCCTGATACTTAAGCTGCCTTCCTAAGGAGTACAAACTATGAGTTTAGACCCAAATGTCTGGTCTCCCAGGAAACTGCTCTAACCAGTAAGGTATTATACTAAATTTACTAAGGATGTCTTGTCCCTCTTTATCCCTTACCTGCAAACCTGCGTTGAAAGAAGTGATTTGGGTACGTAAAAGCAAGAAAGGATCAGCCTTTCTCACACAGGCAGAGGCCTTGAGGGAGGTGATACATTTAGATGTTTTACAACCATGTTAGTTGGCCTAGGTAGCTGGTCTAGAAGACCTAGTGCTCAGTGTGACCTGTGGATCTTAGTTCTTCCCACTTACCTCTCCTCATCCTTTATTACAGGTGATGTAGAAAATCTTGAAATAATCAGATGGGGTTCAAAAGTATTTATTGTCAACAGTATACGTTGACAGTTCAGCCTGTGATTACCACTAGTTTAATTCAATGTAAGAACACCTTCCACCCTTGAGAGTGTAGCCACCTTTTAGGTATCTTTTTGGCTGCTCAAATGCAAACAGTAGCAGTGGCTGCAGTATTGTAACCACAAGAGGAGCTGTAATCTTTTGTGGGTGCCTGGCTCTTTCTTGCTTGTGTTTATCATAATGCTGCCTTGATTGATACGGTGATGCTTGGTTTTTAAAAGCTGAATTTCACATTGTATTGCAGAGAACTGTCCCGATCAAAATCCTCGTCTTAAAAACTGGAGCCCTGGAAAAGATCCTGAAAAGAGAGTTTTTATTAAAAAAGGGGATTTGTTTCGTCTGAACGCAGACGCTACAGTACACTCCATAGTTATACAGGATGGAGGTATGAAATGGCAAGATCAACATCATGCTTCAGTTTACTGCATAGTTTTTACTTCTGTGATTACATGAAATACGTGTTGGAATTTTATGTTGCCAGCTTACTGAGCAGTTCTCTGCTTTTGCTTTCTAGCCTGCTACAAGGGCAGGAATATCATTAGAAAAATGAATGAGTACTGTAGAGTATTTTCAGTGGAGCATTGACATGCGTTTCTGTAGGATATAGTAAATCAAGACTTGTGTAGTAGCCTTTCTTGTAGATCTGGTTGTCTTCTAAAGGTCACTGTATGTTAGTAATTCTACCAAAATGTCACAAAAAATGAGGAATAAACCAACCAAATTCTTAGGTAATCACAATAGGTAGGAGTTACTTCCCCAGATATTCTTAAACATGCATAAGAGTGTAACAGCTTAATTCATGAATGTGGGAAAAAAAACTGTAGTTTTTCTGTTCTTCTTATTGCAGAACCTGGTTCTGTAAGTCTGTTGCAATTTTGGTTTGACCTACAGAAATTAAATTTTTTTTCTCCTTTAGGGTTACTTGTATTTGGTGATGATAAAGAAGGTTCTAAAAATATTACCTTGAGAACTCGATTTATCCTGATAAAGGATGGTGGAATGCTTCATGTTGGAGCAGAGAAATGCCGCTATAAATCCAAAGCAACTATTATTTTGTATGGGAAGTCAAACGAAGGTGCTGATGTGCCAGAATTTGGCCAAAAATTTATTGGTGTGGGCCCTGAAGGAACACTGGAGTTACACGGGCACCAGAAGTTATCCTGGACTCTTCTATCAAAGACTATGTATTTCTCAGGGCTGGCCTATGGTCATTATTCATTTAAAAAGAATTTTTCCCGAGGACTAAATGTGAGAGTGATTGATCAGGACACAGCAGAGGTTTTGGAAGTGCTGAAGTTTGACACTCATGAATTTTCAGAAGACAGCTTGAAGCTCCAGAACTTACTGAAAAATGGAAGTCCTGGTCGCATTGTTGCTATTGCTGTAGGAGATTCAGCTGCTAAAAATCTACTGGAGGAAACCAGAGTGACTATTCAAAATCTTCTGGGAAGTAAGTTTGTCAGAGGATTAAGTTACAGGTAAGTAGTTTATTTCCCTTTTTGTTTTGAGTGAAGATTAGATCTGATACGGATTCTGCCACCTTTGAGGCATTTGTTGAACTTTGGTGGTGTCTGTTCTTAAAGTCTCTGCAGGATTCTCAGTGTTGTATGTAGTACTGCAGTAGTAGAGTAGTAGTATTCAGTGTGCAGTAGTTTGATATTGGAGAAACTGATAGTTTTAGGTGTGTGTCTGATAGATTTTATAACTTGCTTGTAGTTGCTCTTGTTCAGTGTTCTTAGCAGAAATTCAAATGTATAACAAGGAATTTTTTCTTATTCAGACACACAGAAAAAGCTAGGTGAAGCTTTTAATGCATATGACTATGTTTGGAGGAGAAGCAAATGAAAGGCTAACTGAACACAGGGGGGAGATGCTAATCCTGTATAACAAATGGCATCTTATTTATACTTATGTGCTGTTGAAATGAAAGTGTGTAACCCCTCCACTGATTCTGCAGGGGAACTGATCTGTAAAAGTACTTTGCTACTTAATTACACTTGTAAGGTGTTTCTGCATCTTTTGACCCTTCTCTTCAGTTGGTTAGGTTTTGGATGGTAGGACAGTAGAAGAAGTGTAATAGGAATTACTAAATCAGGAAACTTAACTGCCATGCTGTTCATTCAGTTGTTGGAAATGACTTTTTGCAGTGCATGTTCTGAACTTGGCTTTGTGTTGCACAGGGTTGGAATACAAGTGAAAGGGACATCAACTCTCCAAACTAGGTGTTGGTTCATTCTTCAGCTTTCATTAAGATGGTGTTGGATAACCTGATTTTCCACTATTTCCAGGAAGTCAGTTGTTTAGTTTTTCTGTTCTGCTCTTACCCCTCACTATCCTTCAGCATCTGGGTTCCAGTCAGTTTCCTCCCTCTGCTTTGGCAGAGGCGGACTGTGGCGTCAGTCAGGATGACATGTTCTGACCTCTCTTCTCATCAGGAGCATGTTTCTGTCAGTGGTTGATGTAGGTATGCGGTCATGGGATGGAGAGTGCTTGCAGCACTGCCTCTGAAGCAGTTTGGGCAGAGGTGCTGAGACCTGTGGTAAGTACCAGCTCCTCAAAGCAGTGAAGCCTGTGTGGCGGTTGTTCAGCCACCATGACCTGACCTGGAGGTGTGGGTTTCAGGTGTTCATCTCTGCTCATGACCTCCATGCCAGCTTGTCTGATATGAGGAACTTTTGCCGCCTGCACCTGGGAAGAAGCAGCCTTTCTTCCTTCTCCGCTGAACTGATTGTTGTATCTTTGCATTAGTCAGTAGAAGCTCTTTAAGCACAGAAAATTGTCTTGTTCTGCCACAGAAGATGGGGGAGAAGCTCTCAAGTGCTTACTGAGGAAAAGCAGGGTCATTTTGTTAAGCCTGTAAAGCTAGTGAAGGAGGATTTTGGCATGGAGGTGAATACTCTCTTATCCTTCTCTTCTTCTGCCTCTTCCTGCATGCATTAAATATCTTAATACTTATTTTAAATGCTGGTATGTGAAATGTTCAGCTTGTTTGCTGCTGCTACTGAAAAGCTGTCCCAGTATGTACTGTTCCTATGAACAGGTTAACTCTAAACAGTTTCATTTGGCCTTTTAATCCCAATCAGCAGGAACATCATGAGGGGACTGAAATAAAGGCAGCTAAACTGAAGGTGGTTTAGTATCTGCCTCTGAATCAATCATTAGCAACAAACTACAGTCCAGCTAGCAGACACTGTTTTCAAATGGGCTGAGTGATTCAACTTAAATGATGCAAAATTGTTCAGCTTTTTAATAGATGATCTCAACTGCTTCCTCTACACAATTATGGCATTACAGAGCAGTAAAGGAAAGCAAAATAGTCTTGTTTTCTGAACTTAGTGGCATGTGGCTATTTTGGGTTCTTTCATTTACAAAAACTTGGATGCATTGAGCAGAGCATCCTTGCTACATGCTGGTGCCAGCAAGGCAGGGGGGAACTAAAAGCCCTTGGTCTCAGCCTTCAGAAACATCGAGAGGATGATCCCTCATGCAAAGGTTGTTTAGCAGTATGCGGTTCCTTTCCTGGGTCTGAGCATCTTGAAAGGTTCAAAAGGTGTTGCTTGTCCAGTACAGTGATTGCTGGCAGCTGCTGATGGTGGTATCCATCTCTCCAGACCCGATGCCCGCATGGTATGTCACCTGGGACCCTGGCCACCATGCTGTCAGGGCTGCAGGCTATAGCAGAAACATGGGCATTAGCTCCTAGTCCTTCTGTGCCCCAGTAAAGCTGTGTGGGACTAGGATCCTGTATCACTTCTGTCCTCATCTCTTGCAATTTGCTTTTGGAAAAAATGAATCTTGTTGAATGTTGTGCTAAAAACCTACCTTAAAGTCTTCTCTGTCAAGAGCTCTTCTATTTGCCAATCTGTATGTAGGACATCCAGTTACATTACGCTATGTTTCTTTTCAATGAGGTCTACCCATTTTTCTTCTGCATTTTGGTTACATTTTAAAATGAATTTGGAAGAGCAGACTAAGAATTATTTATGATTTCTGTGCTCCTTCTTTCGTCTTTTATCTGTTTGTGAAGAATTTGTTAAGACCATTGTATTTGAATATTTATTTTTGTTTTTTTTCACAGGCAAGCCTGGGCTTTTGTTGGTGTCATAGGTGGTGGAAATTCTTCCTGTAATGAATCAGTGAGAAACTATGAAAATCACAGCACCGGTGGGAAAGCTCTTGCTCAGAAAGAATTTTTCACAGTGGATGGTCAGAAGTTCGTTGTGAGAGCTTACAGCGAATGGAACGATGGTAGGAAAGTGTTTTGTGAAATCCTGCAGTTGGGGAAGAAGTAAAAAATACTGTGTATACTTTTTTGCTGGGGCTGTTGCTTACAGTTTAATATTCTGAGTCCTGCTGTAAGATGTATTTTCCTTTTTCCTTGCTATGAATGAAGTGTAAGAACACAGTTCTTTTTCAGTACAACCTATTTCTCAATCTATTCGTATACAGGATGTGAACAGCATAACATTGAGTCTTCATTTTAAATATATTTAGATAAAGAGTCTTACAGAAGGCTGAAAGAATTTGGTATTTTTCTTTTAGTAATTTGTCAGTCATGTATTTTAACTCTAAGGTTCTGATATGTTGATTATGATCCTTAAAAGAAAACTTGGTAGAAGCCAAGGTAAAGTGTTTTATTCTGTTGCTGTTTGATGCTGAAATTCAGGCAACTTTTTGCATACCAAGTTGGTAGCTGGACCTACAGATTGTTGCCATATGATATTCATTATTTTATTTTATTTTTAAATTCATAGTTTTGTCTTTTCCTTTTGTTTTATTTAAGGTTAGCCAAATAAGCAGGCTATAATGGTATCTCACATGGGTATGTTTCAGAGCAGGATTGTACTTTAGGGGGCTTTGGAGCTGGTGAAATCGCATGCATATTCTGTTAGTACCTTCTTGGCAATGGTTTCATATAAAGATGAATATAATCTTATATTGTGTTTGCCTTATTCATGTTTTTTGTTTGTTTGTTTTTGTGTTTGTTTGTTTGTTTTGTTTGGTTGGTTGGTTGGTTTTGTTTTTACTTAGGTGTCCCAATTTCAGGCTTCCAGGTGGAAGCTGTAGGTGGAGTGATTCTGAATCTCCTGGATGATGTTAGTGGTTGGAAGCCTGGAGATCGGATTGTGGTTGCAAGCACAGACTATTCAATGTATCAGACAGAGGAATTCACCCTTCTTCCCTGCCCCGAGTGTACCAGATATCAGGTCAAAGTCAAAGGTACGAGAGCAGTCACCGCTTGAAGATCTGTGTGAATTAAGTATTCACAGTAGCACACTCCAGCCAGTTCCTTTCAGTGGGAGCAGTAAAGAACAGCCTTTTCGCCTGCTTCTTTGTGGCTTTTTTGCTGTATACAGGAATGGGTGCTTCTTGCTGAAAAATTGCTCTGTATCATGTCAGGTCTGCCTCACAGCTTACCATACTAACTTTTCTTTCTCATTTCTTCCCAGGCTCATTGAATGCTTTAGTTTTCTTCCAAGAGGATTATGCTTGTTTTCCTTTCTTGGTTCCTTTCTGTCTTTTCACTAGGTTTCTTTATACGTGCTTGAATGGGTGTTGTGGTCATTACCATTTCCTTTGCCTTTAGTGCCCTTCCCATCTTTTGAAGTGTTACCATTACAATTTTTTCTGGAGAAAGAAGATAAAAAAAAAAAAAAAGAAGAAAAATGAAAATGGCAGTCTTTGAACCTGTCTCTTTTCTCCCTCCCCCTTCCCACAGTTCCCTCTCCACACCCCATCAGCAGAATGGTTATGAAATAAGTGGCACTTCTAGGCCTCTGCTCACACAGGATATCCCTGAGTAGTTGCAGTCTGTTTTTTCTTTGGGCGTGATATGTGCAAAATGATCATGCATGTTGTTGACTGTTTCCTTTTTTATTATCTGAGTCATTTTGCTTGACTTCACAAGAGCCTCCCATGGGACTGGCTCCCCAGCTCTGCTAACATCTGTGTTTTCCTTCTGCCATTCCATGCCCACCCTTCGTCAGCACCCTCCACCCTGATGTCCCACCAGCCTCACGTCTTAAGCTGGTGCTGCCTTCTGATGGGCTGCAGAATCACTTTGCAGCAGAAACTAGTTAGTGTGGTACTTTGCAGTTAGTTTGCAGCAGCCAACCAGTGTTCTTCAAGGGTCAGGTTTTGTCCCATTCACCTCTGTTGGGTGCATGTTCCTCTTCTTCAAACTATTCTCCTCTTCCTCTGTTCTTGGAAGTTTTCTGTAAAGGCCCTCAAACTTTCCAGTTCCTCCATGTCTTAAGGGACTGCCAGACTTTGCAGTGTGATTTCATCCCACAGCATTCACTAGTATGGGTGACATGTGTTCTGCTGCATTGTGAAGCCCCAGACATGGAAAAAGTATATCTGAGTTTACCTTATGTATCAGAGAATGCCAGGGTGCATGAAGCCACAGAGCTTATCTAGTGCCATCAAGCATGACACTTGCAGGGCTTTGTTCTGAAGTGTCTTGAAAGGTGTTTGTTATTTAGTATAGTATTTAAAACACCAAGCTTAACTTGAAGATTGGAGTATGAAGTTTAAGAAGGTTTTTGTCACCACTGAATAGTGTATGTGGAAACTCTGTTTTGTCTTGGAAATCATGTGTTGTGAAAAAGCAGCTATTAAAGGATTTTAAAACTGTATATTTTAAGATTTACAATATGTCATGAAATACAAGATTTTGGCCTTTTTTTTTAATAAATGCTATATGAACTATGTACAGATCTTTAAAAGATGTTAAAAGAGATGAACTGTCTTGTCTTTTTTTTTTTTTTTCACCCCACTATCAAGTGTCCTTTGTCACAGTAATGTATACTGTTGAAAAAAAATCCTCAAACCACCTTATATATTAATTCCACAAAGAATGATTTTTCCATGGAATGGCAAACTTGACATACAGGAGAACTTACCAGCTTATGAAATTATTTCTTGTATATTTTTTTGCTAGATTTTTTAGCTATTTTGACCCCTTGGTATTAGGACAACTAAAGTGCAATGTTTCGTAGGAGGCCTAGTTGCTCTTTGCTCTTTATGTGTTTATGTATGCTGGTCAAGTATAGGGAGAAACAATAGAGTAGGACTTCAAGGAAAGGATTGTAGACCCATTTACAGACATCTGTTGTCTTTTGAAACCTTCAGCATCAGGGATAGCATTAATACCACTCATGGTTCTGCTTCATATTGTGGTAATGACCAGTTTAGGCTTGTATCCTTTTGTAAGCTTTGAAGGAACAGAGATAATCTTTATTCAGGGAACCAGTAAATGAAAAAAAAAAAGCCCACCAAACTTAAACAAAAGCCCTCCCAAAAAATCCCAATAAAACAACAACCACCAAAAAAAACCCAACTCAATCCAAAACCAAGCAAACAAACAAAAAAAGAGAGAAAAGTATTTCTAAAATCTAAACACATAAATCCTTTTTTTTTTTTTTTAAGGTTTATTGGACCAGATAATTTTCTCAGTTTGCATAGACAAATAAATTACTGTTTCCATGGAAGAACAGTATAAAACCAGAGTATCTTATTTTCCTAATTTTAGTTTGTGTCTTCAGAATAACTATCCAGGAAAAAGCAAAATTAGTTATGAGGGTAAATCCTTTTTCTTTCAGAGAGGTCTGAATTAAGTCTTTTCTAGAGGTGTTTTCAGTTCTCAATTTTTCTTCAAAACAGATTAAGCAGCCAGCATCTTTTTTCTTTTAAGGCAAATGCACATCTATGTTGCAAAGAATGGTTTGGATTGAAAGGAACCTTAAGATCATTCAGTTCCAACCCCGTTGCCATGGTCAGGGACACCTTCCAGTAGATCAGGTTGCTCAAAGCCCCATCCAGCCTGGCCTTGAACACGGCCATGGTTGGGGCAGCCACATTTCATCAAAAATTTTCTAGATACATTGGATTCATTTAATCTTTTTTCTTTATCCTTGTATGTTCACAAAATGTTGGACTGAAATTAAGATGCACTTGCAAATAAAATTTTTGGATTTGTTTAGGATTAATTGTTTTACTAAAATGAAAAATATGCAGGCAGTGTATTGGTTTGGAAACATGGAGTAGCATACTTGTTTCATCATCCTGCAAGACGCTTAAATGTCAGAGTCAAACACAGCCTGGGATTTGGTGTTAGCTGGGTTAATGTTTATTATTTAACAATTATGTGGGTTTTTTCTGCCTTAGCATAAGAAAGCTGAGACAATAGCATGTTAAGGTATTGGAATGCACAGGTTTTGTTGCTACAGTTAACTTGTTTATAATGTAAGGTTTTCTTGTTTGGTTGTTTTTTTAATTAATGACAATTTTTTTTTTTTGGTCTGCTTTTCCTTCCTGCTTCAAACCGGTTTTGGACAGAAAATCCTCAGTTTCCTCATGTAGGAGAAGTTATTGATGGAGTGGACATGAGGGCAGAAGTCGGAGTTCTTACAAGAAATATCTTAATCAAGGGAGAGACTGCAGATGCCTGCTACCGTGAAAAGGAGTGCCAGTTCTTCAATTATGATACATTTGGTGGACATATAAAGGTATGAAAAGCATTTTAAAGTAGCTTGCTGTCATGTAAAGGTATAGTGAGAACAAAAAGATGCTAAACTTAGAAAAATTAAAGACTATTGATTCATATAGTTGCTTTATGTAGAAATGACTTTATTCTCAGTTTTCCCCAAATGAGATTTACCTTATCAAGACTTCATCTGCAGAATTGGAAGAAGAGATAACAGTGCATGAAATGGTCAGCACATTCCACAAGGCTGTATGGCAGGCATTAAACCTTAAAAGTGATGTCCATGCCTGTGCATCCTGTGACATTGTAAAGTAAAATTTGATCTCCCTTTTCTCCCTTCATTTCCCTGCCTTTCTGCACTGAATCCTACAGATGTGCTTTATCTGAAATTGGGCACGAGGGACACATGGAGAGGAAAGAAACTGGACCATGGTGTTTTTTTATTTAACTTACTTATTTTTTATGGAAAGTACTAATTACTAAGGTTATGTAAAGGAAACTGCTTCTAATTTCTTGTACTACCATAAACATAAAGAAAACTGAGGAAAAGTAGTACTAAAGAAACTAAACTTGTATTCACTTACATTTTTAGATGAAAGGATTAGCAGCAGTCTGTCAGTTCTTCAGTGATGCTGGAAAAAGTTTGAGGCCTTGTATTTTATATGCAAAGGCATTTGTGCTCATTATGTGCTAGTCACAGTTTAAAGCTCTCTTTCTAATATGTTTGCATGCAGATTTTAATTTTCAGCAGTGAGCATAATGGTGGGAAAGAAAATATGCCCTTTCCCTACTGTGTGGCAGCTTTTGTTTTGTGGAAGAGAAGTAGGTGGGCTCAAGGCACTCTTTTGTGTTTAAGATAACGCAATGAAAGAAGATAATAACAAGCTGTGAATCTTGCAAAGCATGACCTTCATTGCCACAATAGCACAAATACAGCAGACCCTTCAGATGTCTGGCAGACAGAACAGAAAACAAACATTTTGGGTCATCAAAGTTGTCAAACTGTTCCCAGGAGACTGTTCTGAGTAGCTGAGTGTCTGCTGCCAAACTTAGACCTTAGCTAAAAGCATTTTCAGTTTATGTTAATCTTGCAGTGCTTAAGCAGGAGGGCAGGCACTAGCAAATGTTAATGGCCTAAGGGGTTTTGATCATTCTGGATTTTCTGATGGTCACTGGGATAGTGGGATAAAGGAGGCTTACTGGCAATGAGGAGAGATGCTTATTTGTAGTTTTATGACTGCATTAGTGCAGTTAAAATGTTAACAGTAGGAAATTTCTGAGATGCCTGCTTCTGATAATCTCCCTGATATTTAGGCATACAAACCTTAGGAGTGCAAGGGAAAGGGGTGAACTCCATGCTACTAGTTTCTCTCAAGGACAAAGTACATATGAAAATGATTAGTTTTAGTAAATACTCACTACAAGTAAGTTAATAAAATAACAAAAAAGGCTTTCTTTCTTAGTTTAGCTACTTGCAGTTTAGCTGTTGCACTTGGTTTCTGTTTTCATAGCAGGTTAGGTGGAAGAAAATACTACTGCTTTCCTATGTTACGGCTACAGCTCCATTATGTTTTTACTTTGTACTAGGGAGTGTTATGTGAAATTGAAGGCAGTTTTATATCTCCCTATATAAAGAAGTTCCTCAGGAGTGCTGTGTCCAGTTTTGCAAAGATGATGTAGATGCACTAGGGTGGGTCCAGTAAAGGTGGTGTATTGGGAGCAGGTGATGATGAGTGAGGAGGAGCTGAGAGAACAAGCCTTGTTTGGTCTGGGCAAGGTGGATATTCCTGCTGTCTTCAGGAACAGAGGAGGGTTCAGACAGGCAAGAGCAATTCTTGGAGGCAAACAGGTAGGACAAGAGGCAATGGGACCAAGCTTCAACAAGACAAATTCCTATTAGATACTAGAAAAATGAAAGGGAGAGAACCAATGAACATCATATGAGCATCTCTCTTTCAGGAGCTATTCCTTGGGCAGTGTGCTGAGCAGCAGGCTTAAAGTTGACCCTGTGCTGAGTTGGCAAATGGACCAGATATGAATCTGGATGTGAGGGCAATTTGGCTGCAACAGTCACTCCATTTATAGCCAAGGTTGATTTAGCTGGTCTGGCTGCCTAGGCAGATGTCCCCTTCCTCCCTCACTATTCCGTGTGCATCCCTCCCAGAGTTGCACGCTCTGTCAAAGTGGACAACTTTCCTTGACAGAGATGTACTGTTCATGGGTCAAGAGTATATGGTAGCTGTTCTCCCCTGCTAGAGCCTACAAACAAGCTCAAGGTCCAGTTGTAGGAGAACGTAGGGTAGTTAAGCTTCCAAGACTGTAGACACATCAAGGTGAGAAGCTGCATTGGGTAGTCTGCCATTGCTTTAATATATTCTCCTATGATGTTCTCCTGGAGAAACTGGCTGCTTAAGGCCCTGGATAGGTGTATTCTTTGCTAGGTAAAAAACTGGAGATCACCGAGAGGGTGGTCAGGCATTGGAACAGGCTGCTCAGGGAAGTGGTGGAATCACCGTCCTTAGAAGTATTCAGAAAAGTATATCACTGAGGGCCTCATCTTCCAGGGTTTAGTGGTATACTTGGCAGTCCTGGGGTAAAGGTTGGATTTGACAATCTCAAGGTCTTTTCCAACCTAGTTGACTCTATGATTCTAGTTATCTCAGGAGGTTCTTTTGAATATGTATTATTCTGTGACATTATTCAGCTAAGCCTGTCCCAGGCTATACTGTGGGCTACATAGTGCAGCTTCAGTATAGGTAGGCCCTGATATGGGTGGCTTTTGTATATTTGGACAGTATGTAAAGGATATTTAACATGCTAGCTTGTAAAGACCAAACAGTAAAGTGTGACAATATATCTGATTAAAATTGCTCTGATTTAGCCACATGGAGATTTAGCTTTTACTCTTCTTTATGAAGGACACTGTTTTGTGAGGCAGGATATTGAGCAAGACAGTAGAGATTGTTCTGTATTTCATTGTGTTGGCCTGTGGTAACTGTACACCTGACTTCTGTACATCCAGTATAAATGATGTATTAACTTAAATTTCCATTGGTTAAAAAGCAAATAGTGGTTATTCATTATTGACTTCTCGTGATACTTTTAGATTTTGAAGAATTTTACATCTGTTCATCTCTCCTATGTGGAATTGAAGCAAATGGGCCAGCAGCAGATTGGAAGTTACCCTGTTCACTTTCACCTTTGTGGGGATGTGGATGAAAAAGGAGGTTATAGTTTTAAGACTTACCTGGAAGGTCTTTCCATTCACCACTGTTTTTCCAGATGTGTGACTATTCATGGGACTAATGGCTTGCTGGTAGGTGCAAGGAGAGTAAAACATACTGTGTTGAAATAAATGTTACAAAGACCTTTTAGAGCAAAAATAGTCCTCTTCCTTCTTCAAGTTCAATTCTCAGAAATGTTTTTTTATTGCAACAACTAAATGAATACATGAAACTAACTTATTTTTAACAAATCTCACCACTTTGTTTTTTTTCGGATTGTTCCAGGCAGCTAAGCTCTCCAGACACAGTAGTATATTTGTAAGGGATAAATAAAACTATATGCTTGAGTTATCTGAGCTGCTGATCTGGAAGCTTCACTCTGCAGCTGTGCCAAGATAGTAAACCTAGAGGGTACTTGTCAAATAAATCTCAGTAATTGCTGTTGCCACTGACATAATGAACTTGTATTTCTGCAGATAAAGGACACCATTGGCTACGACACACTAGGTCACTGTTTCTTCACAGAAGATGGCATTGAGCAGAGGAATACTTTATTCCACAACTTGGGGCTAGTCACAAAACCAGGCACTCTTCTTCCTACAGATAGAAACAGCAGTATGTGTACTATTATTAGGGATAAAGTTTATGGCAGTTATATCCCAGTGCCAGCCACAGACTGCATGTGAGTATTTCAGGGTGAAAAAATAAAAATCAAACCAGCTGCAGCAGCTAAACGGCTGCTATCTCTTGACAATATACAGATGGGAACATTTTTATGTATAATTTAAAGAGTGCAGACACCTTAAATGGAGTTAGTGTTTAGTCTTTTATTAAGGAGAAAAAATAAGTTGTTTTGTAGGAAGACTGTTGTGTTTTGCAATACTTGCTCAGCAGACTTTTAAAGCAGCGTGTTTACTTCTTTAAAAGGAATGCACTTTCTCAAGTCACCAATAGTTTTTCTGCACAAGACTAATCTCTTGTAGAAGTTTATTAAAGCAGTTTATCATAGCACAGAATATCTGAACAGCATTAAATAAAACACTGTGCATTGAATGATTATTTTTGATTTCTAAATGGGGAGGGTGTAATTTTTATTTTATATATGAAGTAATGACTTTAGCCATCAGTTTAGTTTTTTTTCTGATGTGTTTGTTACAAAGGTGAGATATTTTTGTAGGAGTTACACTTTTTTTCCATAATAACTTCTTTTGGAATAATATTTCAGGGCAGTTTCGACATTCTGGATTTCTCATCCCAACAATCATCTTATAAATAATGCAGCAGCAGGATCACAGGTGAGGCATATGGAGGTAATTTAACATGAACTACTCAATGCCACTGGTACTTGTAAAATCTATAACATTTACACTTCCAAAACTAAATACATTTTTATATATGACTGTGTTCTTTTTAAGTTTGGCAGCATACTGGCATTACAGTTTTGACCAGGTGTGCATTTAAGTCTTTGTTGTTGCTGGAACAGAGGAGATCTCTTCCTCTTTGTAGTCAGTAGACCTGCCAATAGTGTCAGTAAGTATATGTACAAATAGATCCTTTTATTTCCAAAGAACTAATACATTTCATATTAAGGCTTTTGTATTTTCTGTAGCTTGTTATGAGTTTACTGTGTGACTGCTTTGGAAGATTTATCCATAGCTGTATTTATTGATATGAAAAATGACTACAAAAAAATGTTTATTGTGTAAGAAACAGCTAAAACACTTTTATTGTCAGTTAGTCATTTGTTTTCCAGTCTGACTGCTGATATGGTTTTGCTTGTTGTGTGTCTTACATTACTGCAAATCATTTGTCATAGCTGCTTGCAAAGTAAAGCTGAACTACTCAGTATGTTGTGGAGGAGGGGGCCTGACGTATGTTCTACACTGGATGAAAGGCTGTTACCTGCATGGTTTTGAGTGAATTGTTTTGAAGAGATCAATGGGAATGGAAAACAGGCAAGATGGCTGTTGTTGCAAAGGCTCCAGTACTGGAAGTAGAATATGAATGTGTGTCATTGTATTCTTAGGCACAGAATACTGTTATTAATAGAACAGGGTTCAAAATGTTTAAATGAGTTAAAGTATCTAAAGTATTAAAATTGCCTTAGAAAGTTTTGTTCTGTGTTTTGTCTTTTTTTTTTTATTTTATTTTGGTTTGGTTTTTGGAGGGTTTTTCGGGGGGGGGGGGGGGCTGTTTGTTTATTTTGCTTTTGGACAAACTTTTCTAGTTGACTGTCTACCACTAGGATGGATCTGGACACCCTTATCAAACCAACCAGTGCTAGGACTCTGGCAGGCGGAGTAGGCATGCCACGACAAATGTCAGCCTCATCCTAAACACAGCTATTCTGTAAAGCCGGTGCTTCTAGTTCCAAAGTCACAGATAGTTTGGAGGTGGGTTTGAGGAAGGCAGATCCAAGAGAAAAGTTGTGCTGTGATGCAAAGATATACTGGTAATGGTTTTCATGTAAACCCGTTTAGAAGTTTACAAAAGCATTCTCCTCTCTTGGCTCTTCATGGCTCAAGCTAGGTGCATACAGTGGGGGAAAGCAAACCTAAGTTTGAGAACAAATCACAGCAAACCTAGGCCAGGTTGGAGAGGGGTTTTAGCACCGTGGTCTAGTGGAAGGTGTCCCTGCCTATGGCAAGAGGTTTGGAACCAGACGATCTTTAAGGTTGCTTCTATCCCAAACTAGTCTGTGATTCAGTGCGATGTTTTTCCATTTTTCCTGCTTTATGTAATATTGCTTTACCTTGTATTAGCATTGCAGGTTAAGTTAAAGCTTCCTTGATGTACTGTTCAAAACCTGCAAGGTCTTTTTCTGCTTCTGTAGTGTATCGCAGTAAATGTCTCTCCTTCTGTTACCAGAATGCGCATGGTCAGAGCAAGCGTTTGTGTGTTTGGCCACTCTTAATATACCTCTGTTGCAAAGGAACTACAACTTCTTATGTTTCAGAAACAGAATACTCCAACGGTGTTGATACAAATTCTGCAGTGTAGAGCTTTTGCTGGTTTAAACTATAACAATTCACAAGCAAATGAAATAATTCCATTGCCTCCCCATCTCCTTTGTTACACAATGAAGCCTATTGTAAGGGTGTATCAGCAATAGATGTTTCTTTTGTTTGAGCTGGAGGGTGGTAGTGGTGGAATTTTAATTTTTTTGAGTGCTTGCAAGTGCTTAAGGAGCTTTTAAGTTTATTAAACTTTTTTCCAAGCATTGGAATATGTTTTGGATGAGAATTACTTGAGTCTGCCAAGCACAGAGCTGTATTTAATTATATGTGAAGTAAGATTTTGGTATTTTTATTAATGGAACATCCACATTTGCTTTGGAATTGTTAATCACTAGAAATGTCAAAGTGTGTCATCATTACGGGTGGGAATATGTTACTGAGAAGCAGATTTTCCAGGACTGATTGGAAAATGAGTGTACTCTGAATGAAATGTATCGAATCTTTGAAGCCAGAATGAAATGGCTTTATCCATGTTTCTTGAACAAGAGGATGATGACTTTTTTTTTCAGAAGATGAGCACTCAGTATACAGTGTTTCTGTAACTACTGTTTAACCCTTTAATCTGCCTTATGCAATGATATTTTCAATTTTATAAGGGCACAGACCATGTGGTCAGGCAAAAATTTTCATGTTTGTAGGTATCTCTTCTGGAGATGATGTCCTGATGTCCTGATGCCATCTCTTGTGAACTCATCTGTGTTTGAAAAGTGGACTTTTACTGGTCTCATTTAGCAGATAAATCTAGCTTCTTTAAAAGCAGGGATGTTGAAGAAGTGGAGAAAATGAACAGATGCTGAAATTATTACTGCATGTTATTGGCACAGTGCTCTGAACTGGCCAGACTTCTTGATGTGCTTTTTTTCCCCTTCTTCTGAAAGCTCTTGTGGGCTTTTTGGCTGTGTCATTAAATTATGAAGTGAGCAGAGATGAACAAACCTTAGATAGACTGCAGCAGTAAGAAGGAGAGGAGGGTTTTCCAGTGTTTTACTGTAAACAGTATGATTTACTAGTAAACAAAGGAAAATCAAGTGTATGTGATGAAATGCAGCTAAAATGCAAAAGTTACATTAACTCTGGTACTTTTCTGGCTTGAAATATTGGAAGATCTTAAATGTGTTGTGTTAAATGGCTTAACTGAAAAGCAAAACACTTTTTATTGCACATTATTCACTAGAATATAGCCTTGCTTGTGAACTTCCACATATTCACTGGCGAGGTGTTTGAAGACTTTGTTTTGAAAAATATATTCCATAGTGCACAGTTGGTTTGAGCTATGTTCTTATTCACTTCCTTACTTAAAGTATCCAAGTTCCACCTAGCATACACTTACTTTGTGATAGATTGGCACTGATAGTAGTATCAGATTTATTTATAAGTAACTTCACTCTTTCATTGCTTGCAGGATGCTGGAATATGGTATTTGTTCCACAGGATTGCTACAGGAGATTCTCATAGTTTGGCCACTGAAACCAAGTCAGAGCTTACACCCCTAGGAATCTTCTATAACAACAGGGTTCACTCTAATTTTAAGGTAATTTATTATCTCATTAAAAAAAATCATCTTTATGTGTAAATATTCTAAATTGGGAATTGTCTTTTACATTTTAAGCTGGTTACATGATGAATTCATGCTGTGTTTGAACTACGTTATTATATCTAGGTGTTGTAGAAAGGTATATAATCATGTGTGTAGTTTCCTGCCATGTTTCAGGTATTAACTTTTTAATATCCTTTTAAGGCAGAACCCAACTAAAATCAACGCATGCTTCAAATGAAATAAATTTTCTCAGAAGTAGCATTTCAGATGCTATTCTCTTACTGATGGCATTGTTTTCTACTCCAGAGAAAGCTGACCCTTGAAACATCAAAGTTTATTATAGCTGTCATTCATCTAATAGCTTCTTGGAACAGCTGTGACTTTCTTCCTGTCTCTAATGTGCAGTAACCTAGGTGTTTACACATGGTGGCAGTCTCTGAATAGAGATTATGCTTCTAGGTTACCTTCAGGAGCCCAGCCATTGGCAACAGGGTTTTTTTGAGGGTTCTAAGCCTACCTACAGGCATCCAGCATTGTCTTAGAATGGAATCATAGTTTTATCATACATACTTTCATGTATGTGGCTTTACTGTAATTTTTTCACATGCAACTAAGTCCTTTAATTATTTCATTTGGAATCTCGCTCCTCTGTGTCTGTGTGTGTGCTTATTTGTATATATATATATATATATATATATATATATATATATATATAAAAATATAATGACATTTACAAAGCCATCTAAATATTAATTTGTGTTTGAAGTTTACGTAGTAAACGTAGTAAACATAGTTTACTACATAGTAGTACTACTGATCCTGAAGTTGTACTACTGATCCTGAAGCTTACTACATAGTAAACTTCAGGATCAGTAGTGGATTTATATTTTTAACAAATGAAACTGATTCTACTTGACAGTTGAGTGTTGGGGATACCAAAAATGATGCACTGCTTCATAGAAGTTGTGTTAATAATGTGTTTGGGACTGCAGGGCACTTGTTCAGATTGGAATTAAAACAGACTGAATACAAAAGTGCATTGTAAAGGAAAAGTTTTTCAGCTGTATGGGTCATACTGTCTTCAAACAAGAGTAGTGATTTGTGTGCTAAAATTCCATGTTAAAAGGGCAAACTCCACTGGTAGGTCTCAGGATCCAGTCTTGTAGGAACATTCAATTGTAATCATAATTTGGATCAGATGTGGAAGTAGCTGCAGGTATTTGTGTATGTTAGTCAGGATAAATGCATATTTTTGCTTCTTTCTGCTTCTGTTTTCTCAAATTAATTCATAGTGGATTATTGAGTTTCAAATTGGTGATTGCTTGGGCAAAAATCCACTTCAGTGGTGAAGGTAATTTATAATTTTAAATACAAAGCATTTTTCACAGTGTGGGATTTGGGTTTTTGGTTTGTTGTTTTGTTTTGTTTTTTTTCCCCCATTAGTGAGAATATTTTGAATTCACCTCAAAACTGGATTCTTGATTTTCCAGAACAGCATCTGGAAATAAGTGCAAAACCTCAAATAGTTAGACATTGTGAAAGAAATCTGAAATGAACTGTAATGATTTTCCATTGCTCTTTTTTTTTTTTTTTTCCTTTTTTAAATCCCAAATTAGTGAAAACAGATGTTTTTTCTCCCTTTAGACAACATGCCAGTTAAGGACAAATAGAAAGATATGGGAGTTTCTAATATGTGAATTGAATGCAATGTAAAATTTAAAGTTTAAAAATGTACTGGTTGCTCTAGCTTTTAGTTTTGGGTTGCATGAATTTTCTTTCCTTGCTTGTTTCAGGCTGGTTTGTTCATTGATAAAGGTGTTAAAACAACTAATGCTAGCGCTGATGATCCCAGAGAATATCTTTGTTTGGATAACAATGCAAGGTAAAGGATATTTTCTTTCAAGTGAGTGAAGAATCACAAAGTTCTGAGATTGCTATTACATTCACATGAGGAAAACTAATTTTAAAACTATAATTATTTATAAATAATAACCGAACAATAAATTAATATATTTCCCCCCCATTTGTTCATCTGTTTTGGGAACTTCAGAGCGTGGAGCTATTACTTCTGAACCCTTGCTCAGGGTAGTTTTCAGCCTCTTAGGAGACATCATTTCAAACATGTTCTACTGTCGTGCTTAAAGTATTTTATGGAATTGCTGCTTTTACTGTCTTTAAAATCTGCTCTTCTGATTTATGTCTCAGTTTTAAATAATTATTAGAAAAAGGCTTAATAGAGCCAAGTAATACATCCGCTTGGCTTTCCTACCAGTGAATGCTTCCTGCCATACCTTTTGGACTTGGAGATCATAGCTCAGTGGTAGTTTTACTAAAGGCTGTTTGCAGAGATGGAGCAATCAACCACATTTTCTTTAGTTTACAACATGAGAGAGTTTATGGAGAGTTTAGAAAAACTCTGTTATCCTGTGCCTGCTTACTCTTAGCCTGAACTTCAAATAAAATTTGTATATTGGTATAATGACAACAAAATTTGTATACAAATAAAATTTTTATATTGGTATAATGACAACAACTGTATCTGTGAACATTTTATTATAACAACTAAGCATGAAGGCCGACAATATAGTTCATATGAGTATCCTTAGTTCTGATTGACCTGTTTTTAGGATGAGGCTAGTTAAATGATAGTTGCAGGTGGAGAGAGAATAGTTCCCAGTTTTGGCAATATTTGGTTCATGATTTGGACAAGAAGTCACTAGTTTGATATTTTAATGGAAAACTTATATAATCCTCACAGATTACGTCATTCAAAACAATTAGACAAGAGGAACGTATGAGGAGCAAAATGAGCTGTGAGAACCTGTAATGGGTTGACAGGGCATCAGAAGAGGATAAGAGAAACTCAGTGCATGAGAGATGGGTTTCATGTTTTGCAGCAGCCAAAGAAGTAATAAGGCACTCTCTAAGTACATGAGGCCACTAATTGTTGTACATGGACCCAAACTAGAGGGATTTAAACATTAATTGAGGAGCCCAAGACTGTCAACAAAAGGAAAAATAAAAATTAGCCATTCTTCCCTTCCTCCCTTGGGGGGAGGCAGGGCAGAGTGAAACTGGAGTACAAAGTGATTGGGATAAAGGTCACATATATTTCTTCATCTGCCTCAAAATGGATTTTTGTAATATTTTTCTTAATTGATTACTTTTTGTTTGGGAATAGTTTTGTTAGGAATAGTCAAGTGAAAGCTTCCACCAGCCTTTAATCAGGTTGTTTCTTCCTGTTGTCTAAAATAGATTCCAGCCATAACTTTCTGTATAAGACCATCTTGATAGCAATGTGGAGTGTCTGGGTTGGAATAGAAAAGTATCTTGAGTGTGCTCAAAGAAGAAGCACTCCTTGACATCAGAAGAGTTTGAAAGAGCATTTAGACAAGCTGCCAGCCTTTTTTTGTATAGTGCATGTCAGGCCTATGTATCCTTCCAAGGAGCTTTAATTCCCTCCGTCAAACATTCACATTAATGCTGCAGTACAAGTTGGGGGAGAGTACTTTGGAGAGAGCAAAAATGAAAAGCAAGGGGATAAAAGCAGGTGAGATGCAGCTAAAGGAACTCGGGGAGATTGAGCAAAAGTCTGTGAGAGTTACTGAAGAAGAGAAGTTTTATGTTCCTGCTTCTTTTTACCCCAAAAAAACTTTCCCTGAAATAGAGAGATTGAGATGCGCCTGGTTTTTGGCTTATGTAATTGCAACCATGAAGCAGAGTGGATTTTGCCCATCAGATGAGCATGAGTCTTTATCTTTCAGGCTTTCTCAGTCCAACATGTATCACATGTGTAAAGCAAACAGTATTCTTATGTTGAGTTGTTTTTTTTTTTTTATCTGTTCCAGGTTTCGACCTCATCAAGATGCAGACCCTGAAAAGCCCCGAGTTGCTGCCCTGATTGACAGATTAATCTCTTTCAAAAACAATGATCATGGGGCGTGGGTCAGGGGGGGGGATATCCTCATTCAAAACTCTGGGTAGGTATCCAGAAGCAAATAGCTGTTGTTAAGAAGCTTCCCCTGAAGCTTTGTTCATGAAAATGTATTACAACAGGGTTGTAAGAAAAGACTAATGCTTACCTCTAAGAACGTCTCAGTATCTTGAACAGCTTTCACACCATTCCACTACTTTAAACGAAACAAGTTTATATGTGATTAGATGAGAGCCTGCCTTAAAAGGCAAAAAGAAACCATGTAATAAAAAGAATTCTAAAAGTTGGTTGAGACAGTAAGTTTATACTGAGGTATCTATGGTAAAATAGGGGTTTTTTTAGCAGCAAAATTTTTATATGCATTAAGTGTGTGCTGGTTCTAAATTCCATTAATAGAAAAATAAAGGCTTTTTTCTGTGCATGGCAGGATGTACTTTTATAGTAGCTTATTGTAGGATAATCCAGAAAATATGACTGAAGCTTTGAACTTTCTTTTAGGTTTGCAGACAATGGAATAGGTTTGACATTTGCTAGGTAAGTACTTTATGTTAATCACTTCTGGTTTTTCTTGTCTAGAATCTTAGAAAATATACATCCATCTATTAAAATTAATAGGTTTACTTAAATAAAGTCATAGTTTTATTTTTGGGCCTAGTTCTATTTCGAGTAGTGCAGCTGATGTTATAAAGGCTGTAAGCTGACACGGCTGCCAAAGCCTGCACTTCACTTCAACCTGTGCTTGGTTTACACCACGATTTCCTTCCTTTTTGCCAGAAGGGATACATTTATCCACATATTTTTGGTATTGTATGATTCCTTAGGCATTTTGTTTTTTCCTCCTGAACAATTGAAAGTGAGTATTGGAAAAGAAAGAAGATGAGCATTTTGAAGGGGGCAGAATCTCTTTCTAATAAAACAAAATCAGGTAAATTAAGGAATAGGCCAAAATTGCTGCCATTTAGGTTATGGCCGGCTGGTTCTAGGACTGCAAAAGTAGGCTGTTAAAGAATGCCACACTACAGAGGGAGATAAAAAATTTATTGCTCAGCTGTCTGCTGGCATTTCAAACAGTTAGCCCGTGATACTGGTAATAATTAAATTTATTTTTCTCTATTGTAAATGAAGTCTAGACTGCTCTGCTTTAGCAGGACTGTTACAGAAGTAGGACTATGCCTTTGTGTGTTCATCTACTGGGGAGGCTGAGAGCTAATCTCTGATGTTGCTTTGACAGTGATGGGAGCTTCCCAAATGATGAAGGTGCCAGTCAGGAGGTATCTGAGTCGCTGTTCATTGGTGAGAGCAAGAATTATGGGTTTTCAGGCGGCCAAAATAAATATGCGGGAACTGGTGGGATAGACAACAAGGCACGCACTCTGCCTAGAAATCGGTAAGTATGTTATGGGTGAGGTAGAAATGGTACAAGAAACTTTCTCTGTTATCAGATATAAACACCCTTTTTGCTTGAGCTGTGGGAGACTAAGGCTCTGTTGAAGGTGTCACCCATTTTTAACGCTTTGTGTACAGCAGTATCACTCTCACCTTTTTGATGAGTCAGTTTTCATCTGATTCTACTACAGGTCAGTTTTCCTTGGCTAAAGTTGTTCTACTTTCTTGAAACCTTAGTTTTAACCAACGTTTGGGCCTGGAAGAAAGAAGGAAAAAGCTTTCAGGTAACAGGGTATCAAGGGTCAGTTCAGGACTAGAGGCTATATTCTTTCTGTGACAAATCCCAGTCTGTGATCATGATCCTTTTCTTTCTGGCTTGCTGTGGGACTCATTTAGCATAGTGCCAGATCCTGCCCCTGACATGAAATAGGCAAGAAAGATAAGGTAGGTATAGTCCACCCTGTTTTTTTGCTGCTTAGCCATTTAGCAAGAATTTGTTAATGTGATGGTGGTAAATGAGGTATAATTGAGAAGAATCACAGAACAGTGGAGGTTGAAAGGGACCTCTTGGAAGTCATCTTGTCCATCTGCCCTGCTCAAGAAGGACCACCTAAAGGTGGTTGTCCAGGACCATGCTCAAGTAGCTTCAGAACATCTGCAAGGATGGAGGTTGCACAACCTCTCTGTGTAACCTGTGCCAGTGCCCAGTCATCCTTACAGTGGAAAAAGTGTTTCCTTATGTTCAGGAAGAATCTCCTGTTTCTCAGCTTGTGCCCATTGCCTGTGGTCCTGTCACTGGGTACCACTGGAAAGAGTCTGGCTGCAACTTCTTTGCACCCTCCCTTCAGAGATTCTTATACATTGATGAGATTTCCATTTGAGCCTTCTGTGCTCCAGGCTTAATAGTCTGAGGTCTCACAATGTTTCCTCTAGTGGGAGATGCTCCAGCCACTTAATTATCTTTGTGGCACTTTGGATTCTCTCCAGCAGCTCCATATCTGTCTCATACTGGGGGCAAGCACTTTAGGTGTGGCTTCACCAATGCTGAGAAGATGGGAAGGATCACTTCCCTCAGTCTGTTGATGACACATCTCCCGGTGCAGCCCTGGATGCCTTTTACCTCTTTGAAGCAAGGGCACTTCTGTTTGCCTATGCTCAGCTTGATTTCCACCAGGATCTGTAACTCCTTTTTACTGATGTGTAGGGTTGTTCCTTCCTAAATGCAGGGCTTTACACTTACCCATGTTGAAGTTCATGAGGTTCCCATTTGCCCATTTCTGCAGCCTGTTGAGTTCTGCCTCGATGGCAGCACAACCCTCTGGTGTATTATCTGCTTCTTGCAGATTTTTGCCCTCTGCAGTCTTGCTATGCTCAGCACTGTCATCTGGATCATTAATGAAGATGTTGAACAAGATTAGATAGTGGCCCCAGGGATGCACCACTAGATACCTTCAGCTAGATTTCATGCCACCACCCTTTGCACCCAGCTATTCATCTAGTTTTCAGTCCACCCTACTGTTCTGTCATCCGTGCCATACTTCATGAGAATCTTGAGAGACACAGTGTCAGAAGCCTTGCTGAAGTTTAGGTAGACTGTGTCCACTGCTGTCCGCTCAGCTACCAGGACAGTCATTTCATCACAGAAGTTTTATCAAGTTGGTCCAGCAGGACTGCTTCTTGATGAATCCATGCCGATCGTTACCACAGAATCGTAGGATCAACTAAGTTGGAAAAGACTTTTAAGAGCATCAAGTCCAACTGTTACCCCAGGACTGCAAAGTCCACCACTAAACTGTGTCACTAAGGCCATCGTCCACATGGTTTTTTGAATACCTTCAGGCATGGTGACTCCACCACTTCTCTGGGTAGCCTGTTCCAGTACCTGATCACCCTTTCGGTGAAGAAATTTTCCCTAATATCCAATCTAAGCCTCCCCTGGTGCAGCTTTGAGGCCATTACCTACAGGCCACACTGTTTCTGATACAGGCCAGGATGCTGTTGGCTTTCTTGGCCTCCTGGGCACAAGCTGGCTTGTGTTCAGGCATCAGTCAGCACCCCCAGGTCCTTTTCCACTAAGCAGTTTTCCAGCCATTCTTCCCCAGGCCTGTAGTGTTGCTTGGGGTTGTTGTGACCCAAATGTAGGATACTTTGCCTTGTTGAACATCATACGATTGGCTACAGCCCATCAATCAGCCTGTCCGGATCCCTCTGCAGAGCCTTCCTACCCTCCAGCAGATCACACTCCCACCCAACTTGATGTTGTCCATGAATTTACTGAGGGTGTACTCAATCCCCTCATCCAGATCATTGATCTCCTCTGTCAGCTTATTCAGCACTCTTAGGTGTAACCCATCTGGCCTCATAGGCTTGTATATGATTAAGTAGAGCAGGAGGTCTCTAACCATTTCCTCCTGATTTATGGGGCCTTCAGTCAGCTCCTCATCTCTGTCATCTAGCTCAGGGAACTGAGTTCCCTGAGAGGGGCTGGTCTGGCTATTAAAAACAGAGGCAAATGTGGCATTAAGTACCTCAGCCTTTTCCTCATCCTCAGTCACTAGGTTTTCCCCAGTATCCAGTAGATGATGAAGGTTCTCCTTGGCCCACCTTTTTATTGCTAATTTATTTGTAAAAATATGTTTTATTATCTTTTACAGTAGCAGGCAGATTAAGTTCCAGCTGTTCCTTCACCTTTCTAATTTTCTCCCTGCATAACCTAGCAGCATCCTTATACTCCTCATAGGGTGACAGTCCCTTTTTCCACTGGTGATAGATTCTCTTTTTTTTTTTTCCTGAGTTCTAGCAATATCTGTTCAACCAGGCTGATCTCCTCTGGTTTGACTTTTGGCACATGGGGACTGCCTGCTCCTGTGCCTTTGATAGGAGAGGACTTGCTTTACTGATTGTTAGCTGAAACAAACCCAAGTTGAACTTTAACTAAACAATACCATACGTATGTCAAGGAGGAACAAGACAATTGGTAAAGAACATTCTTTACCTATCTGGTTCCCTGAACTAGGTACTGTTGTTCACAAAGTGCCTCTCCAGCTCAATGAACTGGGAACCATTCTTCACAAAGTCAGAAGAGAGGCCAACCTAAGGCCATAAAAGGAAGATGAGAAAAGTTCAACCAAAGGTCAACAAAGATACGATCACCAGGGGTCCCAAAGACCCTTGGGACCCTTACTTAAAATAAACTGCGCATATTCTAGTGAGTAGTAACCCATGTTAATTAATTCTGTTAAGAAATTATAATATGTATAAGATTTCTGGGAATATATGTATGAGACAGATGCTTATAAGCAAGAAACCTGTAAGAACTGGCATGCATGTTAGGAGCTATCCCCTGTGCATCCACCACCATAATAAGTAATGCTTGCTTCTTAATGCTACATTGTTATTAAGGAGTTTTATTCTCCTGACTTTTGGTGACACCTTGAGGAGTGTCCAGCCTTCCTGCACCCCTTTGTCCTTCAATACTGTTTCCCAAGGGACTGGCTCTCAACCATTCCTGATGACTTCTTGTCCTTCTTTTCCTTGAAATGGTTTTCAGGATTGGCTCTCCATCACCATCCTGGGGATCAAGCTGAAGCTCACCAGCCTTCAGTTCCTTGGGTGTTCCTTCTTCAACTTAAAAGTCATGTTTGCTTTCCTCCAGTCTGCAGGCACTACTCCCAGTTGCCACGATTAGTCAAAGACCAGGTGGTATTATTCTCCTGCTGTATTTCCAGTACTGGGGAAGGGGCACATTTGCAAAGTGACAGTGATAGCACTTCTAACAGGAAATACCAGAGAGTGTGTGTGGGGGGCTTGATGTGTTAGATAAGCACAGAAAAAGTTTTCCTTTACTAAGATCTAACCTCCAAGTCATTCTCTGAATGTTGCTCTCTTGATTCCTCTGAGAGGAAATGTACTTACAGCGCAGATTCCGGCTTATCATGGGTTTTGTTACAAGATGGTATAAATATTTACTTGCATTAACAGGACATTTCCAATCAGAGGATTTCAAATTTATGATGGACCTATTCACCTTACCAAGTGCACATTCAAAAACTTTGTGCCAACTCCAGACAGATTTACCAGTGCAGTTGGATTCTTAATGAAAAATCCATGGCAGATGACACCAAAAAACAACATTTCTCTTGTGAAGTTTGGTCCAAATGTAAGTTTATTGCAAGTTTTATTTTATTCTTGTAAATGGCTTTCTTCTTGCTGTATTTAAAATAAATATCCAAGGGCCACCCCTAGGTCATCTTTTCCATACATCCCTGCTAGAGAGTTTCCTTATTGGTTGGAAGTCACCAGGGTGTATCCTTTGTCTCTGGAACAAAAAAGTAATTCCAACCGAGATGTAGGGTATGTTGCAATAATAATCTCTTTCATGGCTAATGGTAAAGATGAAAGGAGATTTTGTAAGGTATGGTATATCCTTAATAATAGAATTTTCAGTTGCAAACATTAACACTTCAGAAGTAAGACCTGGCCAGGGCCTGTTACTAAAAATCAAAGTATCTGTTTTTCTGTCCTTTCCGTAAGGTTTTTAATCAACTTTGTTAAATTCCTGTGATTCTACAGGTGTTCAAGTGTGTTAGTCTGTGCTTTGCCTGGGGAGAAAAATAAATATTTTAATTGTTGTTGCCAGGTTTCTTTGAAAGCCTTCTTTGGAAAACCTGGTCCCTGGTTTGAAGAAGGAGATCTGGATGGTGACAAGAACTCAATATTCCATGATCTGGATGGTTCAGTGACTGACTACAAGAATACCTATGTGGGCAGAATGGATAACTACTTGATTCAACACCCCGAATGCATTAATATTACAGAATGGAGTGGAGTGGTTTGCAGTGGGACCTATGCACAGGCTAGTACTCCTGTACCTTTCTGTTTGGGGCAAATCTGCAATACAAACAACTTGTGAGGGGCAGGAGAAGTCTTAGGAACTGCAAAATCAGCTATCTTTAAATTTAAAAATTCTTCAAAGTTTTAAAAATACTTTTATGAACATTACACTTTTCAGCCAGTTGCGTACATCATGTTCCCTTCAGCACGCAAACTGGGACTACAGTATTAAATGCTGCAAGGTAAAATCAAACGTGTATGCAATGCCAGCAGTTCTATATTGTGGCCCTATCCACAAGAACATTTTTTCATTGGAGGTGTTTTCTTCCACTGGAGCTGTCTGTCTTATTTTCACAGAGTGGGGTCTTAAGGGGTGCTTTTTTATTATGGGGTTGTTTTTGTTTTTTTCTTCAATGGAGATGTTAAGTACCACCTATGAATACAAATCTCATGCAGATCTGATTCACGTTCTGGTTCCTGTTCTGTACAACTTTGGCCAAGTACCATAGCTGATTCTATTTTTTTGGTGTTGTTTTTTTTTTTGCTCCCTCTCTCCCTCCCTCTGTTTTTTGTCTGCAAAATGGGCAAAATCTACAGTAGTTTTTTTTTTTTTTTTTTTTTTTAATAGGGCTTTTCTTCAGGACATTTTTGTATTGCATGACTCAGAACATCAGATTGTAACTTTTTGGATAATTACTGATTATTACTCACTATTTCTTTTTGCACAGTGTCCTAATCTTTCCTCTTTTCTTTCATCCTTCTTAATACCATATAGGTTTATGTCCAAACATGGAATGGACAGAATCTGTCCATGACTATTGTACGAGATGAGTACCCATCCAACCCCATGGTTCTCCGAGGTATCAATCAGAGAGCTGTCTTTCAACAGTACCAGCCAGTAGTGATGCTCCAAAAGGGCTACACAATACATTGGAATGGAAAAGCTCCGAATGTCACCTATCTTTATCTCATTAACTTCAACAAGTATGTTTATGTTCTTTAATGTCATTGGTCCATAAGGCAGTACTGAAGTAATGTTCTGCAGAATTAGCATGTGTGAGAGTTTGCCACCATCAGTAAGACTGGATCTTAGGTTGGGGTTTTTTGTGATTACAAATGCTAGAGTATGAAAAGCAAGGATGAAACAGTAGACCTGCACCTAAAGTTAAATTTTATCCGGGACAGTGTCTTTTAGAAAAATCCTTTGGAGAAGAAAGCATGCAAATAGTGAAGTTGAGCAGGATTGGAGTTCAGTAGTTTAGCATACCTGATTTTGTTGTCAGAAAAACTTACTAGATGTCTAAAGTATAAAATGAAGTATATTCTGAGAGTATCAAAATTACTGTAACCTTTAATCAAACTGTATAGAAAGGCAAGAAAGATCTTCTGGTTGAGCATTTAGGAGCTTTTTCTGCTCCTGTTACTTGTATTTTGAGTGATTTGTTTGCTGTGTCATGTCTTCTGAACTGTTCCTAAGGTTAAATCATAGGGTTTTTTTGGTTGGTTTTTTTGTTTGTTTGTTTTAGGAATGACTGGATTCGTGTTGGTCTTTGTTATCAACCAAATACAGATTTTGTTATAGTATTAGAAACCTTCCAAAGGCGGTCATCTGCTCTGTCAAGCAAGGTAGAGCGCTACATGCCTGTATCTTCAATGGTGGAGCTCGAAAAGAATCGATCAGACAAGAAGTTTTACTTCGACAGCAGTACTGGGTAACTCCTTGTAACTTGATAGTGTTGGAAGATGTTCTTTAACCTTAAAATGACCAGTTTGATAGTGTTAAAAACAACTGATTGAGATACCTCATAAGAGTAAAGCTATTGTGAACGAACCCAAAGCTTATTTGAAAGAATATGTGACTTTGAATCTCCAAATTACAGTGGTTGTCATTTTTTCCAAGAGTACCATAGTTGCCACAGATACTCCTACCCCATTCCTGGGGAAAAAGTGTATCTGGCATGCTGCAGAGGAGCGTCTTTCAGGAAGGAACTTAAAAATCTCTAAGGAAAAATTGTGCCTTCTTGTTAACCTGAAAATTCTAGAAATTTCCAAGAAGTTTTCTGTTCCAAGAACATTTTAAGGATGTATCTCTGAAAATCCTAATCCATTTACAGCTTTCTCAAAAGTGCTTAAAAGTCCTACTTTCTGAAAAATACTCATGAAAGAGGCCCCTTCTGAGATGTTTTACTCAAAGCTGACTGTATCTTAAATAAGTCCTACGTACGTCACTTGCGTGTTTAGCGAATGTTCTTTTCTCATTCATAATTTATTTATTTTGATCCTTTATCTGTTACTTTGTAGTAAATGTGCAGGTGAATGTAGCTTTTGAAAAGACGTTTGTTTCCTTTTCTCTAAGAGCTACAGTGGTAAGTCAAATATGTAACAAAAGAATTACCAGTCTCCATGTACTGTGAACATTAATGGCCACTGCCCCCAGCTGCATTTCGAGGCATTTGCAGCAGTACAGGTGCATTGTTCAGTGCTGGTGGGTGAAGCTGAATATCCAAAAAGTTACTGCTGGCTATCTGCAGAGATCTGTGATCAAAGAAAACATGTATGCTCAGCAATTTGGTTTTTGTTTCCTGCAAGCCACTGGTTTGAGGAATGGCTGTTGTTTTCAGAGAATATGCATTCATAATGATGTCTCCTTTAATTGTTAGGAATTTCAGATATATCAGTAGAGACTTCCGAACTCTAATAAACTGTAAATAGCTTTAAGTGTCTTCTACAAAAGTGAAGAAGTGAATACTGTCATTTCTCTTCTTCTGAAAATAATGAAATATAGCTGTTAGGTTTAACATAAATGTGTTCTTTCAGTAATTGACCTAGAATCTTTTTTCCCCCTTTTGTGTAGATTACTGTTTTTATTTCTTCAAGCCAAATATAATAGGGATGGTCACAGTTATTGCTCATCTCAGGGATGTGAAAGGATCAAGATTGTGACCAAAGATTCAGCAAAAGGAATCAGTAACTGCATGGCAAAAGCTTACCCAAAGTACTACCAACGACCAACTGTCATAACACAGATGCCAGTAAAAACTACTGTACCATGTATGAAATGCGGCACAACTCAGGTAAAATAAAACAAGTGAAAACTTTGTGTTTTTACTTATTGTAGTTGGTGTTGCTGTCTGATCGTTCTAAGAAATTCAGTGTTTTGGCACAGAACACTGCAGCTACCAGTTTGCGATGGTCATGTTGTTTATCTCCTGTATGCTGCAAAGGCAGGGAGTTTCTTGTAGCACAAAGATTTCATTTTTTGTTTCTTGAAAAGTGCTGCTTCAGTTCTTACTCTGAGTCCTACAGGGAAGGAACGTAGGTAGGTATCTTGTACTACAGCATTGTCTGTGTGCCATGTAGGTTAGCTTTGCTGCAAAGATGTATATGGTATTGGGCAACCTGCTCTCTTCTTTTTCAGATCTTTGCTTATTATCATGAACTTGAAATTGCATTTTCTGTTTTAGCTGAGAAAAATTTTGAAAGTAAGGAATAAAGTAGGTTACACTATGCATCATGATACTTGTTAGCATTGCTATTTCTATAAATAATACCACTGGCAAATTGATGCATTTGCTTTGTAGCAGTGGGCAGTCTGTTGTGAATTGTCTGGCATGGTAAAGTGTTGAAGGCAGACGGATATGTGTACTTAACATGTTTCATTTGATATCCAGATGGTGTTCACCAGTGACCCTCACAAAAACTACCTCCTTGTGCAGATTAATTCATCTGGTAGAAAAGAGTTAAGCAGAGGTCAGCAGGCATTTATTTCTGTAAGTATTTGTTATGGTTTTGATCTTTCTTTTTAGCAGTTTCTATTACAACAGTTGTACAGCTCTGCATAATGCTGATGTCGCTTTTCTTCACTTCAATGAAAAGTGTTGGTTCATAGTTTAAAATCCAGACAGTCAAAGCCTCAGAAAATTAGGCTCTAATTCCTGTTTGTATTTGAATCTTTTACTGCCAGAGAGAAAATAATAGCAGTAAGGGAGAGTTTAAAATCGTCAGATTCATGTTGCAGTCTGGATGCATATACGTCTATTGATGGCTGCTTTGGGGGAAAACCCCAAACAAAACATGCATACAAAAAAAGAAAAAAAAAGACAAAAAAGACAAGCAAACAAACAAACCCCTAGAAACACAAAACACAAGCAAAGATCTAAACAACCTGTTGGTTAAATCCATGTGCTAACAGATTGGTGAGTTAATGGGATGAATCATTCAAGCAATTAAGCTTTGCTAAAACTCCGTCAAAATGGCAGTTACTATAGAATCCATGGATATTTCTGTATTTATTGTGATGCAGTCCTGATAAGCCTATAGAAAGTAGTTTTATAAAAAGAAGAGTTTCGTCTCTTCTATTCAGATGCAGGAGGCTTGCATGTGATTCCACAATAACATTTACAGACATCTTTGCACCACAAAGCTCAGTCTGTATGTGGCTTTCATTTTGCAGTGTCAGTGCATTAGCTTGGTAGAAATAGTAAAACCCCTGAGTTTAGACAGACAAATAGCCTGTAGGCAGCATAACTGTAGCAGCTGCAAATTTCTACAGGAACGTGTATATACCATATCCAAAGCAGTAAGAGTGCTGTGTAGGAAGAAGCTGGGTTGGAACTGGGCTGCTGCAGAGACAGATTAAGTGTGCCATTGGCAAGAAGTCCAGCTAGTTCAGTATCTGAATTTTAGATATCCAAAGCAGGACCAATGTCTGAGGCAGGTAGTAAGTCACCTGAAATGTATGATCTCCCTATATAAGCTGGGGACTGAAGACTCCAGTGTAATTTCAGAATTCCTACTGAGAGTTTTCCCTCAGGGGGGAAAATGAAGACATGCCAGGGAGAAGCAAATACTTGTAAGGAAATTAGTATACCACAATCTCTAAATTAAATGAAGATTAACACTGAATGCCTTAGAATTGCCGTTGGATTCATTAACTTTAAGAAAGGAAGAAACATTTCTTTTTTCTTTTTCTCCTCCCATTCAGGTCAATGACACTATGTTTTCCTTCAAGGATAATGGTATACTTATCATTATAGTCGATTCCTGCACTGGAACAGTGTTGGGAAACAAATTATTTTCTGGAGTAGACATTAAGCATGTAAATGATTATTTAAAATCTGGAATTCCACAAAGGTATGTGTAATAACCATTTATTTCCAGTACCTCCAGTAAGCTGTAGCTCTGCTGTCTAGTGACCTAGCAAGGTTGAGGGAGATTATTTCTCCTCACTCGGGTAGGATACCACCTGCAGTACTGGACCTGCTTGAGTGAGTCTAGAGAAGGCCACAAATATTGTCAGTGAGCTGGAGCACCTTTCCTATGGAGATAGGCTGAGAGAGTTGGGCTTGTTCAGCCTGGAGAAGAGAAGGCTCAGGGGAGACCTTAGAGCAGCCTTCCAGTGGCTAAAGGGTGCCTACAAGAAAGCTGGGGTGGGATTTCTTACAAGGGTGTGTAATGATAGTACAACAGGGAATGGCTTTAAACTGACAGAGGGTAGATCTAGATCAGCTTTTAGGAAGTTCTTCACTATGAGGGTGGTGAGACACTGGCACTGCTTGCCCAGAGGTTGGGGCTGCCCCATCCCTGGTAGTGTTCAAGGCCAGGTTGGATGGGGCTTTGAGCAACCTGGTCTAGTGGAAGGTGTCCCCGCCCATTGTAGGAGGTCTGGAAGTGGATGATCTTTAAGGTCCATTTCAACCCAAACTATTCTATGATTCCGTGATTTAAATAATAACATCATCTCTGCAATAGTACTGAAAGTGAGAAAAACACATCCAAGTTGAGGGGAAAGAAGAAACACACAAGTGTTTTAACAGACAATTTAGTCTTATTTGAGAAAAATAACTCAAATTTTGAATACTTACGGTTTTCCAGTGTTCCCTGTCTTTCATCTCGAAGAGTTTTTTTTTTTTAACTAAATATCATATAATAACATTAATAACACTTCTTTGCTGAAAACAAGTAACTTTGTTTAATCAGGTCACTTAAGGACACTGACAAGAAGTACATTACTAAAAATCATGCTGTTATCTCCCTGTCTGGGGGGGGAAATTGCTTATCATTGAAGAAATAACAAAAAGCTAATGTTGGAAAAATCAGCATCTAAGTTTGGATCAATATTTAAACTTTAATTTTTTATACAAAATATTGAGCTGTATTTCAGTAACACTTTCCAATGATTTTGAAGTTAAATTTGAAAGTCAATCTAAAAAAAAAATATTTTAGGTACTGCTTTCAGAGAGGGTTGACTATTTCCATGTCATGAAATAACATCTCAGGAGTACTCTTAAGCAAGTAGACTGAGGCCAACTAGCTGTAAAAGCATGTAACAAGATATTAAGGAAACTTTGTGTTTATAACAGGTGCTGTCTCTATGCTGTCTCTGTTGCAGGTCTATTGTTCTACTGAGCACAAGAGGTGATGTAGCAATTCCTCATAATTTATCAGAAGCCTTAATGTCCCTGGGGACAGCGAAACCACCTTATCTTCAGAGCAACGGTTGGTGGAAATTTCATACTTTTCTTCGACCGCCGCCTCGGTCTGTGTGTTTGTGTTGGCGTGGTGGGTTTCTCCAAGGGTGTGTGAAAAGGATGCAGCTGGGGAAGAAGGGTGTCTGCCAGTTTGTACTGGTGTGGGCTGCTGCATTTCAGCCTTGTTTGGGGGGGGTGGAGGAGGGGCTGGGGGAGGGAGAGAATGGGCAGTCATTCAGCAGGTGGGGCAGAAGACATTTACCATTGCCCTGAAGGGCATTCTGTGAAGCCTGTTGCAAGGAGCGAAGTGAGTAGCAGTTCCTTGTGCCTGTGGATTACAGAAAAACAGCTCCAGGCTTTTTTCCCAAAGCCTGTATTTGTGCTTCACCCAGTGAATCTATTTATAAACAACCTCCTGTGCTAGGCTAGTATTTCCTGTTCTAACAAAATTTGAAGATTGAGATGGGAAGCTGTCAGTATATTTGAGGGATGATCACTTTATAGGCCACATGGGGTAGCTCTTGTCCATTCAGAGCCCTGGCACAAGTCTCGACTTGAGAAAGGTTTTGTAACTACTGATAGCTACGTTTCCAGGTTAAGATTTCAGAGTATTTGATACTGAATACTGAAAAATATCTTGCCTTGTGGGGTGTACTTGACACCGAGAGTGGATCAGTATCCTGCATGGCGGGGGGGAGGATTTCAGAGGAGCATGTGGTGTGCTTCGGGCTTGGCTGGTTCAGTAACACTGAGCTGGTTTTGTCACAGGAAGCGTGGCCTTTCTGGGCTTCAGAGGAAACTTTAAGCCATCCTGGATTAAGCTGTTTACTGGTCCTGCTGGGCATGGGCTCGTTCAGATAGAAAAGTATATCCCTTTACAACTGGAAGAGTATGGCTGTGCCAGAGCAATCAGAAGTCGGCGGAAAGACATCGAGCTTCTAAAGAAGGCTACACGATCTCATTAAAGACTAAGATGTACATAAAAGCTGGGGGAAAAATGTGAACTAACTTATTTTTTAATTTATGGCATTTTAAACTATGTTGCTATCCAAGGAATTCACGTTACTGTCTGACAGATGTTTGCCAGCATTGACTGCTTGAATGCCGATCTGCGCACCTTCTAGTTGTACAAAATATTAAAGAATTTATTAGTATTTGTATAAACAGGTTTCAGAGATTTTTCAGATGTTTGTATTTACTGTAAGTTTCTTCTGTTTAATACTCCTTTTGTATGTAAGAAGGTGTTTATAAAAGCCTTAAATTTTTAATAACAGGAATCGGAGTGCATCTTGGATTACTTGAAAGATTAACATTAAAGTTTCCATAAACAGCTTGAATTGGTCATTGTAACTTACACATTTTCACTTAGCTACTTAGGTATTTTCCTGAGGGTTTATTTAGCAGTCAGCTCAGTTACGTTCTCAGTCTGCTTTCCAAGGTGTTAAAAACATTTCCCCCCTGCATGCAGCTAACTGAAGGGGTTTAACTGCAGTAAGGTTTTTGCTTTGCTGTGTCAAAGATGAAGAGTAGGTATTCAAATACCCAGCCCAGGGCTGAGTGAGGATTATGTACCATGCAACAAAGTTTAACATGGCTGTGTGTACCGTCATGATGCACAGAGCAGAAAATTACTACCGTTGTTAATTACCACTTTCTTTACTGTTCACCTCTAAATATACAGGTGCCTGTGAGAGTCACTTCACTAAACAGTACGGGTGTTAAGGCTGCAGTCTTGGGTGCAGCTTGACTGCAGCTCACACTTTTAAAGCTTCTAGCCAGGAGGACAAAGCTGAGATACTGTTGTTGGCAATTTATTATGAAACTAGGCTTCTACTGTTGCAGTCATATTTCCTTCCTCACCTCCATCCCTCCAAAGGCTTTACCTTATAAGTGAATGAGAAGTGCTCTCAGTTCATTCAGGCATGTTATATGCTTTGCCTTAACTTCAGTTCTTTTAATATACTCATGTTGCTAGTTCCTGTTGACTTTTTATATTGGGTCCATTTCATTTCCTTGGTTTTCTTGCAGTTATTTGACCCTTTCTACAAAGAGTATGAAAATCATTTCACTGAAAACTGAGGCACAGCTGCCGTTTTTAAGGGTCCTATTTTTGAAATTATATTTCAGAGACTGTAAAGATGCATTTCACAATAGGAGACACTAGGTGCCATTGAGCTAAAATGTAACCATAGTTCTAATAAAACTGACATAGTTCCTGCTTGTATATGTTCTCATTCATTCTAGCTGGTATAATGTATGTACCATTCAGAGATGCTTTGTGCTTTGAATTCAGAATGGAATGGCTGCTGGAAATACACCTGTCTTCTCCAAAGAAATTGAAAAGCTGTGGGGATTTTTTTCTCTTTGTGTGTGTGTGTGCTTTAAAGGAGAGGAGGCACAGTAGCAAACCTATTATTCTGTTCAATTGAAATATGCTACCTCAGTGCTACAAGTAAACTGCCAATGAGAAGGGAGGGAAACACAACATAAGAGATGAACAAGTAGATGGCTGATGTAATTTTTATTGTAAAACCCAAGCCAAATGGATGATTGTGGATTATGCAGTTGTTTTGAGGCACAGGTCTTTTATAATGTTTAAATAAAAAAAAAGGTGTTTTGTTAGGGGAAATGTGGTAAGTCTTTAAAGACTAGCTATAATGTTACTAATGCAGGTCAATGTGATTTAAATGTTCTGAGTGCAGTAGTGATAGTGTTTGGGGATTAAAATGGTTTTAAGACTTCCACTGTTCTGTGGGTCATGTTCAGCAGAGAAATACTGATGAGGTAGTGACCTTCAGGCATGTGAAGTTTGCCATTATTTATGAGATTCTGCTGTTCTAAGCCATCTTGTAAAAACTGTACTAGAAAGTGTCAAGGGTATTCTGGGGTAGGGTTTACTGGTGGGCAGTTGGACCTGAAGTGTTGTCTTTTGTGTAAATTTGAACACTTGATAAATAGCATAAATAAATTTTTACATCTGACAAGACAATGCTATCTTGGATCTCTTTTGTTCTTGCATCAGGTAATTCTGTAATGTATGCTGTGTGAATTACAGACTCATAGAATGGTTTGGGTTGGAAAGGAACTTCAGATCATCCAGTTCCAACCCCCTGCTAGGGTCAGGGACACCTTCCACTAGACCAGGTTGTTCAAAGCTCTGTCCAACCTGACTTTGAACACTGCCAGGGATAGGGAAGCCACAGCTTTTCTGGGAAATTTGTGCTAATGCCTCACCACCCTCGCAGGGAAGAATTTCTTCCTAATATCTGTTTAAGTTTTAACCCATTACCCCTTGTCCTGTCACTACAGTTCCTAATGAAGAGTCCCTCCCCAGCATCCTTAATAGACCCCCTTCAGATACTGGAAAGCTTCTATGAGGTCTCCACACAGCCTTCTCTTCTCCAGGCTGAGCAGCCCCAACTTTCTCAGCCTATCTTCATACGGGAGGTGCTCTAGTACCTCTTACTGTAAATGATTTAATTTCAAACACCAACAGACCTCTGAATTTTATGGACTGTATCCGACTTTTCAGTCGGAGACAAATTGGTCATGCTAAGGCAGAGACACCACATGGCTGGTGACTAAAGTTACTGGCCTGTCTCCAAAGTCTGTCCTCTTAAAGCCTGTCTGAGCTGCTGAGTGCAAACTCATTTCAGCTTGGTGGGGGCCAGTGCAGTATTATTACCTACTCAGGGGCATCTCATCCATGTTTGTAACTACCTGGCGGGGGCGTAAAGAAGATGGAGACAGGTTACTCTCGATGGTGTCCAATAGCCAGGTCAAGAGGCTTTGGGCACACTGAAGTACAGGCAATTGCACACAATATGACTGAGTGGGTGATCAAGCACTGGAACTGATTGCCAGAAAGGCTGCAGTCTTTTTGCAGAGGAGCAGCTGCAGCTGGCCCTGCTTTGCGACACATAGTGTCCTGGGCCATCATTTCCAGAGGTGGCTGCCAGCTTGGGTACCACTGTGGCTGTGTGCAGTTCAAATTATTGATGTACCTAGATCGTCTTTTCCAAGCATATCAGTTGCTGCACTGTGCAAGGGCTGAACCCCATGCACTTTTCACCTAATGTATGAAACTCAGCAGGGGCTTAAAAATGACGCACCTCTGTCCCAAACCCAGCCCACAAGGCATTGTAATTGCCTCTTCAGGGTCAGGTTTTGTATACAAATAGTTTGATTCCTATTCCTTGCTCAAATAGTGTTACTGTGCAGTAAAGATAAGAACAACAATAAAAGAATAAATAAGCTTACTTGGACCAGGGGTCATATTAAGTCTACTGTCAATAGGCGGCTTTCTCTGGGCAAAGACACCACTGAAAGTCCACTATATGAGGAACCATTCCTTAGAACCTGAGGTGATGGCAAAGACATGCTTTAGGAAAAGATATGCTTAATCCTGCATTTATTGTGGGACTGCAGTGACAGCTGAGGCCCCAGGTAACTTCTGACCTAGGATATGAAAATAGTTTTTCCTGTTTGGGATAAGTCTTCTGATTTCTTTTGCTTCCCCTCAACCTCTTTTCACATTATGTAGGCAGGGTGTACATCTGAGTACAGTCACGAGCTCTGACTGAAAAGCCCAGTGTAATGAGGTTGATGATAGCTGCATTATTGGGTGCAGTGGTCAATGAAGGCCAAAAGGATGTGTCGCGGCTGTTTGTTTAAGGTGATCCTGGTGACATCTTGGTGTCTGAATGTCTATGAAGCGCAAAGAAAAGCAGTAAACGCCTGAGTTTTAAAACTAGATTTGTGTGATCTTTTCTCCGTAATTACTTTTCCATGTCTGCTAGTCATATTTGTTATAGTACTTACAGAGAGGTTCTGTTCTTTCCTAGAGTTCACAAGCATATTTTTCTTTTCATAGAATCATAGAATAGTTAGGGTTGGAAAGAACCTTAAGATCATCCAATGCTCCCTTCTTATCCTGTGTCTTGTGCTAGTTAGATTTCTAAAGTAATACTGAGTATTGAAGTATATAAGGCCACCACTGGCTTGAGAGAATTTATGAGCTTTTTAATTGTGTGGCCTGGATGTTTTGCAATTTCACATCTGAAAATGTATTAACAATTGTAACTTGCTAAAAAAAAAAGTAAAGGCTTATCTGTCTGTTAACTTGCATAACTGGAATGATGGGATTGGCAAGTCATAGAGGTCCACCTCTCCTTTTTTATGTGGTTAAAGTGTGAAAAATAAATAAGATTTGGATACAATAGGAGAAAATTTGGGAGAGAGCAAGCTGGGTATCTGCTGAGATCAGCCTAGCCTCTTCTAATCTTTTGCCTGCTCTTTTGTCCTTCCCTTAAAACATACTGGAAAAAATTCAGAGAGACTTATGTTTTTGTTGCAAGTTTATGGTTGTTGGACTTGGTGACCTAGTGAGAAATTGGCTTGGTCAAATAGCAGAGAAATTTCAAAATAAGCAGTGTGTATAAACTTTGTCCTTAAAGGCCAACTTTTCTATTTCTATTATATTTAAAAGTACAAATCAGGTTTACTTGCCATGCCTGGGAGGCAAATCCTTTATTTCATCTTTGTCCAAGTTGAATGGTGTGACAGCTGAATGTCCTGATTTGTAATATTTTTTCCTGAGGAAATATTCTTAGGACATGCAATGGCCTGTCTTTATATATAATTTGTTCTAAGCAGAACATAAGAACAATGTGATATTTCAGGATTACTTTCATAAAAGTTTATAAGTAATAATGCTGTACTAAAACTGCTGTAAGCAGAGTTATGTCTGTCTTTTTCCTGTGAAGCATTTCCAGTGGCATTTTCAACAGCTACCCTAGGTTCAGTTCAGGGCGTGCTTTGTGTAATTGGTAGCTTTTAGGGATGGATCTCAGATGATGATGTGTCATTTTAATATCTGTGAGGTTCTTCAGCAGTAGATGGTTTACTAAATCTGCAGGGTGTGAACTGTGATCTAATAATTTTCTGCTCATATGCTCAGTCATAGCAGACAACATCACAGTTATCTGTGGTCTCATTTCTGTTTCTGAGAAGTGATTCTATGATGAGCATCACTCAGTAGTATATATTGCGCTTTTCTGCTTTCTAACATGGTTTTTATTTGGTAATAGTGTAATACAAATTTTCATATGGCAGCAGGTTCTGAGTTACATTTTTCTTTTTAATATTCCTATATTTATATCACATTTTTCTGTGCTTCACAGTGAAATACAAAGTATTAGAAGATATGAGTACATATAATCGCATGAATCATTGCAGCATGCGCAATTGCCGTCGGGTTCCTTCTGCTAACTAACAGGCAAATGTAAATAAAAGTTCATGGCGACAGAAGAAAGGGAATGGAAGGTCCAAGAAAATATTGTTTTCAGTCTCTTTTCCCTTAAGCCAGACACACCTTTCTCCTTTTGTTTTGCAGGGACAAGGTTCTCTTGGTTCATAAGGGCAGGGATGCTGCTCTGTTTAAGTATCTTGTTCTCATAAAATGTTCATTTCTCATATTTGCAATGTTTTGCTGCCTGTGGATTTTTCTGAGTAATTGCCCATCATCCTTCTCCACTATTTCCGAAGGATCTTGGGGAGTGGGTTGGACCTCTCCTATTTTCCCACCCTTCTTCTCCCACCCCAAGTCTTTCTTGCTGAGCATTAAAGAGACCCTTTTCAATCTGCGTGTCAGGGTGGGTTTGTTCTTCCATAGCTATCATGTTGAATGAACCACATTAAATACTTAATGCTCCAGAGTACAGAATTGGAACCAGTATGAAGCTTAGAAATGTTGATATACAGTCTTCATAGGAATGATTGGCTGCTTTTTTTCTTATGAAACTTCAGTTTCATTGCTTTCACAGTTAAGTCACTGCGCACTCTTCCCTCACTCCCACCTCACCCTCTCCAAGCAGTCCTACACAGACTCCATGACATCATTATTAATAGTGACATACAAGCTTCTAAAACAATGCCAATAAAGTTTATGCTAACAAGTGTATGCCAAGCCTACTGATTATCCAAGTAATAAGCCATGGGCTTATGTGATCTGCAGTTTCTAGGTTCATATTTGTTTCATATGTGAGTTTTTATATAACTGCATTCTCAAAGCAGATCCTAAGATTACAAAAATACTTTTGTGTGCAAACAGTTTCCTTCTTTCCCTGTGGGAGCCTGGTGTTCAGGATCTATGAAAGGACAAGTGACATTGCAAATTGACAGGAATCTAAAATAAAGTTGTTAAGGAAGGTTGTTGTTGAAGGGCCCCAGCACACATGCCTTAATAAGGAAGCAAATTCTCTGTTAAGAGCACAGTCTGTTGTAAGCTTGAGTCAAAATCATGTAGTCCCTCTCAAAGGTGGATATACATATATTAGAACCTGTATGTGAACCCACATCTACAGTTGGTTAACCAAATTCTGATGAAGCACTTAAAAGACTGGAACACCGAGTCTTGATTGTAAACATGAAGAATTCTCAGAAATATTAGGCAAAAGTAATGAAGCTGAACAGAGATATGCCATTTGCTAAAATATACCTGCAATGTGAAAGTACAAACTGAGATGACATTTCTCATCAGGCAGACAGACAACAGTAGATGTGCAGGCAAATCCTTGATCTCTAAAGACAGTCATTACCCTTGACATCTTTGTAAGTTTTTAAAATCATCACCCCATGAACGTTTAACCTCTGAATTATCAATCAGCCACATGAGCTTAAAGTCATAGGAAGAAGTGCTTGAATGTATGTGTGGTTTTTTGTTCTCGAGAACTGTTGCAGAAGTAATTTGGCACCTAAAGAGAGCATTTAATTCTGCTTTTCTTTTTGTAGTCTGTTAACTCTGGCTTTAACTTCTACATCTTGCAAACCAAGTTCTTATACTGGACCTGCAAAGCTCCTTCTTAAACAATTAACGAACCCGACTACATGCAGAGCAGCCATCACTGAGACTTTTGAGACAAAAATACCCAACAAAATATTTTCCCAATGCAACGGTAGAGCAGAGAGAAGTATGGGGTTTGTGTGTGT